TGTTAAAAAAAAGAAAAATAATATAATTAACAATTGAAGAGAAATAAATAACCATATTAAATTAATATAATGATATATTGAACCTATATTATTTAAATAAGGTATATTATAACGAAGAGATTCTCGTGAAATAAATAATATTGTTGTATAATATAATTTAAGACGAATATTAGCTATTCCAATTATATTTAAATTAACATAACGGATAATTAATCCATTAACTAATATATTTATTAAACCGAATAGAAGTTTACTATTTAAATTTAATATTGTTTTACTTCGAATTAATGAATATAAAAGATTTTCATTTGAAGACATTTTTTTTTTTATAAACGAAAATTAATCAATTTTTTCTATCTTAAATAAGGCATCTACAATCATTATTTTAACTGATATGTTTGTGGAACTACTCAAAATCAATCTTTTCAATGAAACACTCGAACAAACTGTCTCTTTACGTATTATTTATAATAGTTAAATCTAGATTTAGATATTCTCTTCCTAATAAAAGTCAATGATTATGTCTAATGACGAAGTTTCATAAAGAATCTCTTGTTGAAGAAAAAAGAAAAGAAAACGTTAGATTTTTCATTGGACAAAAATAACTCTTGATGATAACCAAAGAAAGATAAGCGAAATATAGATTTTTTTTTCCCTTTTTTTCTCTTATATAATCAATGGAAGATAATAGATAAAACAATTCTACTATAAAGAATAAATAGATTTTTCTATAAAAGAAAATCATCTATGAAAGCAAACTATTATTTTATTGAGCAAGGTTAACTGCATAGATTTGTTATATTCTGTTAAATATATATATATATAAGATGCATGTCGAAATGAGTAGATCTTCTATTGATATTGATTAGATTTAATAGAGTTACTTTTACAAATACAATAAAATATTTATTTTCTCGTCTTTTTCATTAGTTATCGATAAATAATCAAATTTTTTATATTTTATTTTATTTGAAAAAAAAATTTTATTTAATAAATAATAAAATCGTCAAAATCTTATTGAAATTTCATAGGAAAAAAGTGAAATAGTACATAGTGACATCTTTTACAATTAAAGAAGAAAAATAGATTTTTTATATTGAAAATTTTCATTTATATTTATTTAAAAAGTTTTAAAGAAAAGTTTTATAAAACAAAAACTGATTAGGAGGAACTAATCAATATATGTTAGAATGAATTTTATTGGCTAATCTTCTTTAACCATAAGAAATATCTTATTTGGTTGCTTGCTTGATTTACTTTTCTTTTTTCTTTGAAAAGTTTCGTTAATAAATGAAAGATATTTTTTTATTTTAGATTTCTCTTTTTCTCTCTCTTGATCATCAATTCAAAAAGAAACAACGTTCAATGGGTCCACGTAAAGGTCAACAAGCAGCTAAACAAGAACAAGTTAGTTTAGGTCCACAATTAGCTGAAGGAGAACTTAATTTTGGTGTTGCTCATATTTATGCTAGTTTTAATGATACATTTGTTCATGTCACTGATCTTTCGGGAAAGTAAGTTAATATATTATTTATTAATATATTAAAATAAAAGAAATATTTTTAAAGAGAAACAATAGCTCGTGTAACAGGTGGAATGAAAGTAAAAGCTGATCGTGATGAAGCATCACCATATGCTGCTATGTTAGCTGCACAAGATGTTGCTGAACGTTGTCGAGGTTTAGGTATAACTGCTTTACATGTTCGACTTCGTGCAACTGGTGGAAATAAAACTAAAACACCTGGACCTGGTGCTCAATCAGCTCTTCGTGCTCTTGCTCGATCAGGAATCAAAATTGGAAGAATTGGTTCGTTCTTACTCGTTTTTTTCTTTCTTTATTATTTAAATAAATTCTTTTTTTGGTTTCCTTTGTTTTATAGAGGATGTAACACCAATTCCATCAGATAGTACAAGAAGAAAAGGTGGTCGACGTGGTCGTCGTTTATAAAACACATCAAATTTATTTATAACACACAATTTATTTGTTTACATTTATCGAATCCTTTTTTTGTGTGTTTTATATCATTGATTTATTCATATTTCCATCTTAATGAATAACAATAAATGAGAAAACAATAAACATTAACAATTAACAAGTTTTTTTTATCTTTTAAAAACAATTTTTATTCATCGTCTTTTCTAATATATTCGATTTTAATTATATTTTACAAAACATTTGAAGAAAAAAAACAATCAAATATTTGATTTCGGATAACAAATTAAATATCGATAGACATCATTCATACTAAACGATATATTTACTCGAGAAATTCCACAACTCATTTAGAATAAATTCATTTCAACATTTATTTATATATATAATCATTATTTATTTCAAATAAAATAATATTCTCTTCTATTATTCGAGATTTTTTCATATATTCTCTATAATATCTTGATATTATATTCTAAAAGAAGACATTTAACATATTTTCTAGAAAGAGAAAAACAAATCAAATTTTTTTTTAATTCTTTCATTCATAGTTAAAACACTATAAATAGATTATGTTTAGAGATTTTTATTCTTAATTAATTGGTTTTTATCAAAAATAACAATCATATCATCGAATAATATAGAACAACACACTCAAAACTATATTTCATTGAAAAATATTTTCCATCACATAGGTAAAGTTAGTACCATATTCGAGTTTTTTTGCGTCCCGATTCGCTTTTCGACTTGGGTTGGCTCTCTACTTGGTTGGATTATATGAAGAATTAAATTCTGCATCGAATAGTACCATTTTTAACTGGGGTCATCGAACAAAAAATTCATTTTTATCCAAAATACCGGCTTTTTTGAGGACTTCTTCAAAAGTATTTTACGTCCGGATTCGCTCTCTCACTTGGGTTGGCTCTAAAAATGGTTGGGTTGAGTTCAGAATTCAATTCTGCGTCGAATGATACTAATTTCGACTAGAGTTATCGGGCAAAATCGACAGGTGAGGCTGAATGAAGACCAGAAATTTTGATCTGGCATTGTTACCGTCATCTATTTTTTTTGTCCGATAATCCTTGTCGAAATTAGTATCATTCGAAGCAGAATTGAATTCTGAACTCAACCCAACCATTTGTAGAGCCAATCCAAGTGAGAGAGCGAATCCGGACGCAAAATACTTTTGAAGAAGTCCTCAAAAAAGCCGATATTTTGGATAAAAATGAATTTTTTGCTCGATGACCCCAGTTAAAAATGGTACTATTCGATGCAGAATTTAATCCTGCATATAATTCAACCAAGTAGAGAGCCAACTCAGGTCGAAAAGCGAATCGGGACGCAAAAACACTCGAATATGATACTAACTTTAGCTACGCTTTTCCATCGAAGTTTGTCGTGTAACTAAGGATTATCTCGACAAATTTTTGACATCCTATGATTAGTTAGATTTTGACTGAAGAAAAATATCTTTCCTAAATATAAAAATAATGATGGATCTATTTTGTAGAGTTACCAAAATTAAGGACATCGATTGATGTCAGAATTCGAAAATATAGCTTTGCTGCAAAAGTGAGGTGCTATAGAGAAAATTCATTAAAAAGTTTATATCTCGCCAGGAACACGTCATGGACACGAACCCTTTTAGGGTTTTCTTAGTCTCACTGAGTCCTACTAGTAGCCAAAATATGGACTCGAACGGCGTCCGACAGTTGAATATGTTCCCTCGCGAATAGTTCTAATAGAAATTTGAAATATTGTTTGATATATAAAATTTAAAAAGATTTAATAAATTCCATTAAATTAGTTTATATTATTATTTGACATATAATAAAATAAAGAAAAGATTATTAAATAGATACCAATTCATTTTCATTTTTTAACACATTAACAATTTCAAAAACAAAATATTTTAAAGAATTTTTTTATTCAATATGAAGAATATAAAGAAAATCTTTAGGAAATACGAAATGAAAAAAATTCTCAATTGAAATGTATAACTAAACAATAAATAATATTTTGATTTTAATCAATCACTTTCAAGTTAATCTATTTAAATATTCGAATATATAAATCTATATGTTATTATTTGAAAGGCATTTTATCTATTGAGAAAAAAATAAAAAAATCAATTATATTTAACTAAAGGATAATTCATTTAAATTATCATTAATAAAAATATACAAACGTTTATCATTATAAACATAATAAGTTTATTAACGAAATAAATATTGATAATCAATTATATTTGAAAACATATTCTTTATCTTATCTTTACATCTTAACAAATCATTTTCAACTAGACAATATTAAATAGTTTATAGACGAAAGAGTTCTGTTTATTATAAAAATTCTTACGTTATTCTAATATTAATTTTAATCAGTAAATTAGTTTATCTTAAATCATCACTTTCATCTATCGTTTGGAAGAAAAAGAATATTTTATTATTTTTAAAATCCTATTATCAACTCGATCAAATTGAACATATTTCAGTTATGTTCATTTCTATCTAAATAAGAAGAATTTACAATAGAAAAATATTCTAATATAGTTAATGTAGTATTAAACTCAGATTTGAATGAATTGAGAAGAAGATTGAAATTGATAAGATCGACCAAGTGGCCATTCATAGAATTTTCGTCGGATTAAATTTTTACGTAAAAAAACCTGGTGATTCAAAGTAAGCCCACCAGTTAAAACACATCCGAAGCGATACAAGTTGTTGCAAATTATCAATAAGAAAATGAATAATATTAATAATGCGTTCTGTACATTTATTTTGACCATCAACAATACGTGAAGATTTTCAAAACTACTCATTGTTCGCAATAGAGATAATAAACGAAAGTTTTTTTCAAATAAGATTATCAATGGGCAAGTAGTGTACAAATATCTTGTACATTATTTCATGTCAATCTATAATCATCTATGTCAAATGATTTTATCTAATAAATAAAAAACAATTTTTTTTTCATTTGAACAGAAATCAAAATATATTCTACAAGGAAAACTCCCAAAGTGTGTCTCTGAAGTTTCAACGAAAACTATATGGGTTTATCAAGTCAATTGCTCTGATGCCAACTATCAAGTAATTAACGTTTTAACCTAATGTAATAAAAACGTTCCAGTCAATATATATTTTGACTGGTTGACACCTAAATACAGGTGTATATAGACGGGTATACTGTATATCAACGATACGACTTGTGAGTGAAGACACTTAATAAATTGATGATATAATTTTACGAACCTATTCTCTATCACCTTCAATGTAGGATATATCTAGTTTGAGTTATGAATTAGCAAAGAATAATTATGAGGAAATTTTATCTTAATACAATAAAAAATAAATAACAAGTTTTATCCTTCGTCATCGATTATATTTTTGCTTTTCTGTGTTTCACCCTTGATTGATTTCAATTCAATCAAATATTTTAATTTGGTACATTTGAAAATTCAAACATTTTCGAATCGAAATCTATGAAAATGAGTCGAGAAAGTTTCTCCAGTTGAAATATAGAACTGCTACATTTAAATAGAAAATCTTCTTTTTTTGTTCATGTTCATAATGATTTTGTAGTTTTTTAAGGAAAGTCTTTTCAATGCATATCTCTATACTATGTCTATCATCAAACAATATTTATATAAACAGACAGACTAATATAGAAAACTTATGCACCTGGATCTGGATCTAACTATCAACTAATAAAATACTTTGACGGAAACCTTTTATTCAAGTAGCCCATTTAGTCTTAGTTGAAACGTGAGAGACACAGTTGTGTGTCCTCCCTTGTTAGTTATATAATACGACTAAACTCTATAATAATTCATTTTTATTTATCATTAAATTTCAATAAGGTTTTAGAAGAAAAAAGATTTTATTAAAATAAAACGACGAGTATCAATAAAAACAGAAGTTATAGATGAAGTTATTTCAATTATATTTCTCTTTGAAAATAAAACTTAGTTGTTGATTAAGATAAGTTTCAAGATGATCAGTATTATCTTATATAAAACGAAGTAGTGTACGTTCAATATCAAATAATGTTAATGTATGTGCATTATAATCCATCCCTTATACTGATTTTAATTTAGTTCCACTAAGAAAATTATCATTATCAACTGTAATCTGTTTTATCAATGATCATGGAACGAATCATAATATTCAACTTAGACAATTATCAACATTTGAAAGGTAATTCTTACTTTCAACACAGCTAATAACTAACTGATTAATGCGTAGAAACATATTTATTCCTCTAATCAACATTTGAGAAGATCGAAATAGAAAAAACGGGAAAATTTTGTTCTAGGGTTCTTCACTAAAGTAAATATATAATAGATGCATTTTCCGATTATCAGACAAAAGAAATATTTCAAATATAGAACCATTGTATGATAAAGTGTAGACAATCAAATAATACTGATGATCATCAAGATTATTAGAAAAATTCTCTTGAAGAATAAATTTTGGTCGTTGTCGACTAGTAAATGGAGCGTTGGAAAATGATTTGAGGATTAGTTTTTCGTTCAACTCGTTTTCAATAGTGAATAATATATTAAGAGTATAGATTATTCTTGATTTTCGATGATTGATACATAATTGTTGAATAGTATCACCTAATATAATCAATGGTCAATTTATTGATGTATGTCCTTCTTATCTTAATCACAAATTAGTAAGTTGATTAAATACAGATAATAAAAGTCAAACAGTTCGATAGAAACTTATGTTATTTACACAGTTTATGTTGAGACGAGATGGATTATAAATAAGACGAGAATTGACAGTCGTAGACAATCTAAAAAATTTCACTTCATCAATACTTTTACATATAATAAAATGTTGATTACATTAAATTATGAAAATAATTCTTATAATTGATATCATTTTGATTTACACCAATAGAAAGATTTTCAATAAAAGGTATAGATTATAATAAATGTTATAGAAATGGTGATCTTATTAAAATCGATGGTCAATGTATGAAGATGCAATCTATTCGATATATTTGGTAAACTCATCAATGGTGGTGATGAATATTTTGGTAATTGATTATGAGTGTTACAACACAAATCGAATGGAAGTCGACAAATTTTTAGAAAAGACAATTGTGAACATACTTTTTATAAAGTTAAAAGAAATAAAATATTATTATGATTATATTTAGAAGATATTTTTCTTCTCAAACAAAAATTAATCAGTTATCTATTTAACTTAAATAAAGTTTGTTTTCTTACCTTAGCTAGATATGCTCATTACACTACTTCTCTCTTCAACGAACTATACTCACTCACATCGACCAATACACTATACAATTGTTTCATTATATTATTACGCAATACTTTATCAAATTCATCTAGTTTAATATCAATCAAATCGAGATGTCGAACCAATATTGTCTTATCATATATTAAACATGATAAAACGAGTGACTGTCCACCAATTACATTCTATTATGTTATACATAATGAAACAACTCGACCTTCTATTAATTTGAACACATTTTGACAAAGATTATTAAACATTGAGAATGACATTCTATTGCCACCAATATGGATGTGCTACATATATTCGGAGATAATTATTCTTCTAAAACGTCTATTGAGTGATGAAAATAATTGAAGAATATAAAGAGGAGATAAATAAGGAAAATTTTCTAAAAGTATATCAATAGGTAGAAATTCGAAGGTAGTAATCATCATTTCTTTTTTATCTGTTTTTTGTTCATTTGACATTAATTTATTTATATATTATTCTATATAATTATATATATTCGTCTAGTTTTGTTGACGATCATTGTTTTTTAGATAATTTCGACAAGTTTTTAATAATGAATCGATTATCTTCATGTATTAAAAGAGATCAACTATTTTCGATAAGAAATTATTGAGACAAAAGTTTAATTATTGATTGATAACTTCAAAGAGAATATCTAGACGATAGTAAGTGAAACTTTTCAATCTATATTTGACCGTTCATTCTATAACTTTTCCAGAGGAAACAAAGCATGTTATTTGAAACTATTAATAATATCTTTGAAATAATTTCAACAATTTAAAGATGGATGATATACTACTTAATCAACTATCATTCAATTAGTTTTGCATACGTCACTTTGAATATTATTTTCCGTTCATATCTATTCATCAAACAACAGAAATAACTTCAAAGAAAATCTAAATTAACAAAATATTTTTTTCTAAGGTATACTAGAAGATTGAAATATCTTCAAAAAATTCTATTTTATAGTTGAGAATACTTTTGTAGTATTCGATTAAGTTAAAATTAATATTCGACTTAAAGAGAATATTCTAACGTTTTGCTAATGCAACTAATTGAGTCAAGAATTCGAAAAATCATAGAAAACCAAACGATTAAGTCTCGAGAAAATTTGAAATATTGGAGCTTCTAGGCCCCAAATATTGCTTTAAAAGTAACGGAGAACATATTGATCATTAATTGATTAGTTCTCTGAAAATAACTGATCAGAAAAATCAACTTCTATTGACAAATATTTTCAACAGTTTATCAGTATGAGAACTATGAACGAACCCTGATATACCTATTTTTAATTTAGGATTATATTCTAAATTCAGAAAATTAATTATTTTATTTCTTACCCAATGGTTTTAAACTTCAATTGATAACTTCTATTGAACATCCATTACTTTTCATTTTAATTCAAAACAACTAACTATCGTCTTTACGACTCGTAAGATCTTTGAGTCAATACTCAATTTCTTTTATATTATATATCACAATAGAACTCCAATTAATATTAATATAAAATCCATGTACGAAAGTAGACGTCAATGTCATTATTCATGTTGATGCGCATACTCGGTGACGATGTCTGTGAGGATTTGACTGTGCGTGCCATTCTAGTTCTTCTCTTCATCAATCCACCGAATCACATCTATATTCGTAAAAACAGAGTGACCAACAGTTCAATAGGGAAAACATCTTATTGATCGAACTTCGACTCTTGGAAAAATTTTATTAAATAGAAGGTGAATGAGCGAAACATCTGATTGGATGAAGATATAGCACACGGTTGTTACTTTGAATCATCGGTATGAATTTTCATGAGTGTATGTGAATACGTGATCATTGACGTAGATGCAAACATACATACATAGAGACAAACCAAATTAATCTTGTATCAATCTCTCTTTAGTCGAAGGAATAAATATTTACACAGTTATATGAAATATTAATGATGATGAAAACAAAATAAAGTTGAATTTAATTTGAAGAATCTTATTTAATATAAAATGTTGAAAGCTTGATTAAATATCTCTAATAACTCGATTATTGAGAAAAGAGAAAAATAAAAATAAAAAGAATTTTTAAAAATTTTCGATAAAATATTAGTTTATTTATTTATTCGAAGGAATAGTAGTTGAACCAGCAGCTCCACTATAATTAGCTAAATCAGATGTTACTTGAAAATGTTGATGATCAGTTTGACTAGTATTAGAATGATCAAGATTTCCTGTATCAGATATGCCAGCTGTTACACCAGTTCGTTCTGCTGTTCCAGTTGATGTTGATGTTGTTCCTACTGTTCGTTCTAAACCAGCTGTACCTGATATATCTTCACGAGGATCACCTAATGTTCCTTTTTTTTCATCATTTTTCGACATTTAATCAATTATTTTATAAAACAATTTATATGAAATTTATAATCGAATATTATTTTTATCACATTAGTTAGCAACACCATTCTTCAAATCAATTCTATTCTTCGACCTCTATCTTACACTTTTATATTATACTCCTACGACCTCTTCAAATATTTATCGATGAAATTTTTTATTTCATTAATCATTTTTTAAAAAAAATCAATTGTTTTAAACAAGTGGATAACTTGCAAGAGTAGCAATTCCACACTGATTTTTTTTATTTCGACTCATCCAAATATATCCTTGATTTCCCCAATTGTTTCCCCAAGAATTTTTAACAATATAATAATCTTGTGAATTAATAGTTCCATATCCAACAGCTAAAACAGCATGATCAAGTAAATATGTTGAACAATGAGGTTCATTATAAACTCCAGATGAATAAAATTGAAATGAACTTTTCGACGCATCAATAGCTACTGATATTGGACCAACAGTAGCAATAGCAGATTGAAGATCTGTTTCATTTCCCATTTTAATTTCAACAAAATCCTATTACAATATAAAATGATTCTTTTTTTTTAAAAGTTATTTTAATTGAAAAATAAATATTTACAGTAAGAGTAGCACCAATATTATTCGGATCAAAACGACATTTTCTACGTTGAGCTTGATATGGATATGATGACTCTGTATCAATACCATTATTAGATTTAATATAAAGAAAAGCAATATCCATAAGACCACCATGACATCCAAAATTGATTGAACAATCAACTAAATTTTGTTCGGAAAGTGAAATAAGTATTGATGTTTTAGCAAAATGTTGTCCTTCAAGTGATCCTGTTGTTGAAAAGGCCCAACATGAACCACATTGACCTTGATCTTTAATAGGTGTTACATAACCTTTTGTACGCCAATCTATTTAATTATATTTAATATATTTATTAACAAAAAAATGAAAAGATTTTTTACCAACACTTTTGGGTAAAAGAATATTTGATGGAGGTTGAAATCTTTGATGATCAACTTTATTTATTTCACTTTTTAAATTCATTTTAAAAGCATTGATTTGTTTTCGAAATTCTTCATTTGTCTTTAAATATGAAAAATAAAAGTTAACAATTTAAAAAAAAAAAAGAAAAATCTTATTTTATTTAAATCTGAATACCATATCACCAAATTTATTCATTCCAAGTGTATATTGATGAATATCTAAATCAAATTCAAGATTATGTTTATGAATAAATCGAAGATTTTCTTCCCATATTTGACGACTATTTTAATTTATATTAGAAATAGAATTTTCTTTTTTTATAAATAAATATATTAACAAACCGATATATTTCTTCTTGATTTAATAAATATTTTTTTTCAAAAACGTCTTTAAATAAATTCCATGAATCATTTAATTCAATATCAAACATTGGAAAAGAAAAATATCCATTAATCAATATAATACATAATATAATATACAATTTCATTATAGATTATTTTATTCACACAATAACAAACAATTTTTTGCCAACTAAATTTATTCCCGAAAAATATATTTATTTATAATTATATTCGAGATAATAGCATAACGCTGTTACTTTGTTAAATAATGATAACTATTATCTTATCCTATGAATATATAAAAGAGAAAGAATAAAACAAAACATCTGCCAATATCATAAATAAATTGAAAATATTGAGAGATTTATTTTCATATCGAATATATTCTTCTTAAATTTTTTCTTTTTAAACAAGATTAAAAAGATTTTCTTTTAATCAAATTTTATATTTATTTATATAAATACGTTTTTTTCTTGCGTAAAATTCTTTTTGTTGTATCTATCTTAATATATATCTATTATAAAGGCATCTTGTTTACATCGTTTATTTACACTGATAGATATGACTTTTTTATTTTAGAAGATAATTAAATCAAAAGACGTCAAACTTTCACAACGAATTATTCTTGTTTAAGGCCTTGAATTAAAAACTAGGAGATAAGTTGAATGTCTCTCCAGGGATAAGCTAAGGATATTAACTATTTTCAGTGTATTTTTAGCTGATTTGAATCTATATTATACATTATATTCGATAAACAAAACATATTAGAAATTGAAATAAACTATAAATAAACCTTTTTTGTTTTGATCTCTATGAATAAATAGTTAATAATGAGTAGATTCGAATATAAACAATGATAATTGAAATTATTCTATTAAATATAGTATGGAGTTTATTTAATTAAACAAAATATTATTCGTTAATATCATTATTTAAAAAGGAGCGTCTCTTTAATGTAAAATAAAATTCGTCTTTTTTTTCTGAAAGTTTTCTTTCTTTTTTCTACACGAAAGGATTCTAACAATCCTTATGCTCATTATCATATATAGAGTAAATATTAGAACGTTTTTTATCATTTATCGTAAAGAGAAAAATTGTTAAATCTATAGAAAATAAATCTTGTTTGGTAGATCCAGAACTAAACTAAATCTTTAATCTATTTAACAAAAATCTAACTATTGGATCAATATGAAAGAAACAATATCCGAAGGTGATTATGGATTTTAAATAAACAAACAAACTAAACAAGGTGGAGAAATTTTTCAAAAATTGAACAAAACAATAGATAAAGCAGTACGATTTGTTCAGTTTCTTTATGATACTTTTTTATCGAAACTGTTGAAAGTAAATTTTCATTTTCTTTATTGATTTTATAATAAATATTATTTTGCAAAAAAGAATCTACAATTTTTCTTTCATTATGTAAGTTATTCTTAAATAAAAAGTTAAAAAACGATCTTTGAGAAAAATGAAATTATCTCAATAGACATCTTTTATGTATCAATCAGTAAAATAATCTTCGTTTTATCGAATTAACAGTTCTTTCAAATTGAATTATTCTTAAAATAAAATCTAAAATATTTATTATGAGATTTTTTCTAAGGAAAATAGATCTTCACAAAATATCATCTTTCCTATTATTTATTCAACAGTCATATTTACTTTAATTATATTATTCTTAGTTACAATTTTCATCAAAAAAAAAACAGAAAAGTCAAATCACTTTCGAAGATGATGAACAAGTTCAACAAATAAATTCATTGAGAGAATCAATAGATTGAAAACCATCGTCGTTTCAAGATTGACACGATATTTTCATAGATACTTTTTTCATATAAAAGATTTTTTTTTTTTTGTTTTTTATTTAAGAAAATAAAGAAAGGAGAATTTGAATTTAGTTATGCATTAGAATTGATCCTTGCATCACAGGTGACACCTTGTTGTGTGATAGAAGTTTATTCTAATATTCTAGTGATATTTTATTGAAAATTATACAAAAAATTCCAAATAAAATAATGTCTTTTCAAATAATAGATGTGTATCGACCTGTAAAAGCAAATTTCAATTCCGATGAACATTCGAGTCATATCTAGAGTCAGAGTCAGAGTCAGAGTTGACAAAGAAAAGTTTTCAGAAGTCGAGGTCAGAATTTGAATCGCAAAAAATAATATATCTTCATGTCTCAGTTGGCGTGATTGAGAATGTTTTTTTGGAGATAATTTCTCAGTGACTCCACTAAAACTGTCAACTTTTTACTCTTACATAGGAAGATTTTTATTCTTCAAAAATTATATAATAAATAATAAATCGACTAATTATTCTACTTTGTAATTCCATAAATTAGGTTGAAGAGCAAAAAATAATATTAAAGAGATATTCATATTAACAAAGATCATTCGATAAAGTAAATAAAATCATTTAGATATCAACAAACTACTAGAAGTAAACTTTTCAAATTTCTCGAAGTTAAATTCCGAGTGACGCAGAAAATATTGATAGACTTGGAATCGAAAATAATTTATCTTCGTCTAATCAGCCGTATTTCCACAAGCATAAAAAATAATTTAAAATTCCATAACAATGTCACTTTTTCAAGTAACTTGTCAATGATCTTTTCAAAAATGAAGATAGTCAAGGTAGTATTATCGAAATTCAATATTTAACAAACGTTTAAGTAAATTAAGAGTATTGACTGTTCAATGAGATTTCGATTTAAACTAATAAAACACACGAAATTTATTTCGAATTATAAACCAAGGGTTTATTCAGAATAGAACAACTAGAGTTGTTTATCTATTCAAATATTTGAAATTGATTGTTTTGCCTTAAATTAAACAAAAATTATTCGAGTAAAATAATTAATTACCAAGACCAAAACGAATAATAAAAAGTTGATTCGAATTCTCAATTCGAGTATCATTCTTATAGATAAAGGATATTCTTATAGTTGGACATATAATCTACTAGTTTTTTATTCTAATCTTGTTTTGTGAGGAAGCTATTTTATTTTCTATTTTCACGATTCTCATCATCTTCTCTTTATTTCATCTATTCATACATATTCAAAGATAATGGGTTTGCTTTTTTTTGTAAAATTACTCAGAAAATTTCGATATTAATCAATCCGAGAACAATGATAGAATTGACACTTTAACGATCGGAATTTGTTGGAATGAACGCATATTTCAAAAGTGGATGAGCGAAAAGTGATCACTACGAATAGTATCGAAAAAAAAGTTTCTAATAGAATGTTCATAGTGTATTTGAATAAATAAATATAATTTAAACGAATAAATGAAAAAGATTAAAATGAAATCAATCTTGAGATAATTAAAAATATGTTTTCTTTTTTTTTCATAGAAGTATATCGTTAAAAATAAATATATTCTTTTTATAACAAAACTTCTAAGAAGAAAATTTTGTTATCATCTTCGAAATAAAGAGTTATCAAAAGGTTGAGCATTTTATTAGACATTCTCAATCGGCATTTATATTTACAAAAAATAGATCAACTTTATTAGAACTTTTAACTTTATTAGAACTTTTAACTTTATTAGAACTTTTAACTTTATTAGAACTTTTAACTTTATTATGGTAGAAAGATCGAAAATAAAATTTCATTCTTTTTTTTACTAAAAATAAAAAAGGTTTCAGTGATTTGATAATAGAATATGAATGAGATTTACATGGAAATAAAAGCAACGATCTATGAAACTATTTATATATTTTTATTATAAATAGTTTATTTCAATATTCTCATTGTGATTTGATAAACTAAGTTTACTTTAATTAAGAAAAGTAAGAAAATTATTCTAATAGATAAAATAAAAAATGTTAACATATGAAAGCGTCCTCTACCGTTGGTTAATAATAAATGGTTAAAATATTCGATTAATGTTTATTCACCTTTAAATCATGGTGAGATGAGTTTCTATGATAAAAACTCAATTATAATTTATTATTAATGAAAAATCATTCGATTTTGTTTCTTATTTGTTAAATGATTAATTGATATTCATCTTTAAAAGTTATTCGAACTTTTTTATAAAAAAATAAAAAAGATGAGCGTAGATTTTCTATATTTGTTATTAGAAGTAAAGTTTATTTAATAAAATGCTTGATAATGTTTTGTAAGAATATTTTATAAGATAATAAAAGATAAATTGATATTTGTCTATGATATGACGACATATATTATCTATATATTTATCTATTAACAATTCTATTTTCAAGAGTTTAGTTATTTCATTGTGTTTTTATTTTATTCTAGTGAATATATTCAATGTGGTTCTTCTTTTTCTTGTCGTTGTTTGTTGGAGTTAATGCAAATTTGGGTGGATGTCCAACAAATGTAAATTAATTTAATTAAATATTTATATATTTAATTAAACGAAATAAATCTTATTTAAAGGTAACATGTATTTCAAAAGAAACATGTTGTCAAACAAGTACTGGTTTATGGTCATGTTGTCCAATAGAAGATGGTCTTTGTTGTGATGATGGTCTTCATTGTTGTTCAAAAGGTCAAACATGTTTACCTAATGGACAATGTTCTTCATCATCAAATCATATTTATGTTTGTTTTATTATAATTATTTATTTAATTTAATTTAATTTGTTTAGTCTGGTTTACCATTAAGAATTGTAGAAAATCCAATAAATTCAGTTCCATGTCCAGGTTAATTTAAATAAAATGAAAATGAAAATGAAAATGAAATAAAATGAATTATTTTAGATGGAAGTTCTTGTCCTGATGGTAGTACTTGTTGTCAATTATCATCAGGTCAATATGGTTGTTGTCCACTGGGTATTATTATTTAGTTTTTCTTTTTAATATCTATTTTAAATAAAATTGATTTCGTTTGTTTTTTTAGTTGATGCTGTTTGTTGTAGTAAGTTATTTATTTAAATAAATGAATTATTTAAATGATAAAAAAAAAGGTGATCATCTTCATTGTTGTCCACATGGATATACTTGTGATGTTGAACATTCACGATGTAAAAAAAAATTCGATGATTTAAATGATGTTCCATGTCCTGATGGTTCGTTTTATTATTATCTTATTCCTTCATTTTTGTTTTAAATCAATTATTTATTTAATTCATTTAGGTTCTGCATGCCCTGATGGTTTGATTTTGTTTTGTTTTTTTCTTATTTTAAATCTAAGATATCTAATTAAATATTTAGGTAACACATGTTGTCAATTAGCATCAGGAAGTTATGGTTGTTGTCCATTAAGTAAACAATTATTATTTATAGAAATAAATAAATATTTTTCTTTTCTTTTTATATTTAATTAAAGGTGATGCTGTGTGTTGTAGTAAGTTATAAAATAGATTAAAATGAGAAAAAAAGAAATTCTTTAAATTTAATAAAAGGTGATCATTATCATTGTTGTCCACATGGATATACTTGTGATGTTGAAAAGGGTCAATGTACTCCGGGTATATCAATTCCATGGTTTACTAAAAAACCATCTTTTCATCGAAAACAACGTTGGTTTTTTATTTTTCATTAGAATTTTTAAAAAAAAAAAATCAATTTCTTCAATTTTTTTTTTTTTTTTTGTTATTAGAATTAACAGATATAATTGATGATAAAGAAACGAATCTATATGAATTAAATCGATTGTCAACATCTAATGCAGAAATAATTTGTCCAGATGCTACAAGTAACTATAAAAATAAATAAATAAATAAATAATAATAATTTATTTAAAAAAACCAAACAAAAGGTTTATGTCCATCAACATCAACTTGTTGTTTAACAGCAGAATCTACATGGGGTTGTTGTCCAATAGAAAAAGCAGTATGTTTATTTAATAAATAAATTTGAATAAATATTTAAAATATATATTGAAAAAGGTTTGTTGTTCTGATCGTGAACATTGTTGTCCTCAACATTATAAATGTGATTTACATATATTTAAATGTGATCATCCAATATTTGGATCAATACCAATATTTAAAAAAAACCCATCTTTACATAAAATATCATCGAAATTAATTATTTCAAATATTGAATCAACTATTTCAACAATTCAATGTCCTGGTTTGTTTTATTTATTTATTTATTTATTTATTTAAAATAAATTTATTGATTTAAAGATGGAAAATCTAATTGTCCTGAAGAAACAACTTGTTGTCAATTAGAAGATGGTTTGTTTTATAAATATTTATTTATTTATTTATCTTGAAATTGATTTCTAAATAGAATCGTATGGATGTTGTCCATATCCTCAAGCATCTTGTTGTTCGGATAAAGTTTGTTTTATTTAAAAAAAGAAAAAAAAAAAGTAAAAATTGTAAATAAAAAAATTTTAGATTCATTGTTGTGGAAATGGATATTCATGTGATGAAAGTGGTAAAAGATGTATTCGTCATTTGAATTGGTTAAATAAAATTGATATAAAACCATCTGGTGAAAAGTTCCGATCATTAAAAATAAAAGCAAAAGTTGAATCATATTCAAAATTATCTCCATTAAAAGATGAAACATGTCCTGATGGTAAAACAAAATGTTCATCAAGTTCAACATGTTGTCCAAATAAAGAAAATAATCAAATAACATATTCATGTTGTCCTTATTCAAAAGTAATTTTGTTTTTTATTTAAATAAATAATAAAAAAACCTATGTCAGGGTATATGTTGTGGTTCAAATGGTTCAGTTTGTTGTCCAAATAATTATATTTGTAATGAAGAAGAACTTTCTTGTCAATTAAATGATTTAATATTATATCGAGATGCTCCATATGATAATGATTATAATCGATGTGGAACATCAGATGATGCTTGTTCAGATGATCAAACATGTTGTAGAACTTATGGATCAACTGATAAAGAATTTGCTTGTTGTGCTTTTCCTGATGTATGTTTACATTTATTTATTCGATTTTATCTGTTTTTTTTTTCTTTTTTCTTTTATAGGCTCAATGTTGTCAAGATGGTCAACATTGTTGTCCTAAAGGTACAAAATGTGATGTTCAATCTGGTGGATGTATTCAAAATGATTAACTTTTAAACAAGTTTACTTTTACTTTTTTTTAAATTTATTTTCGATAAGATAAAATTTTCATGATTTTCAAATAAAGTCTTTCAACTAAGATTCTTACTATCAATATAATTCAACATTTATTCGTTTTATTTTTAATATACTTTTATGTTTTTTATCAACATAAAAGTCTTTAACTAAAACTAATATTTACTGTCTGTCAAAAATAAAAATGGTTTCCACCATTTTTTGAATAACTTGAGAAGAGAAGTTGATAGCGAACTGTGATTTTCATCAGTCTAAAGAAGAGATATCGAGACGTATTTATCTCAGATATTCTATAAGAATAAACTATTTTAAAATTTACTGTTTTTGTAAAACATCGAAAAAATGTAGAAAAATAATTCGTCATTAAGATGAAATTTTCAGAAAAAATCAGAAAATTTCCTTAAAAACTAAGAAAAATTGATACTTTTTCAATGAGTAAATTGAGAATTTGATATACTTTATCTTAGAATATGTGAAGATAATCATTCGAATTATATATTAAACTATAGATCTGAAGTTCCTCTATCTAAATAACATATAAAAACGAAAATTTCATCGAAATAGTTACCCGTTTTCATCCATATTTTCTAATGCTTTTCATAAATAATTGATTTGAAAATGATGTCATCTGATATAATATGAGAGAAAAAGACGGTCCAGCATCGTCTCTTTCAACTGGTGAAAATTGGAGCTCGCTATCTGCTTCCATTCTGAAATTATTCAAAAAATGGCGGAGACCATTTTTATTTTGGAGAGATAGTAGTTTTCATAATTATACATTTTTTTCCCAATCAATTCAATTTATATTCGAAACTTTATTTCTAATAAAAAAAAACCGAATGGTATGTTGAGTTGCATTTATCCTATAGATTATAATAAATTATTTATATTATAGTTTCAATTGATTACGTTTTGTTATCATTGAATATAAATAAATAGATACTGATGAGGTAACATATTCAACCCATTGTAATGTGCATATATAGTGTTCTAGTTTGTTTTTTTGACTCTTTATTTAGGATATTAGAAAAGAATATGAGTTTCAATATTGAAAAATGAAATTATAGTCTAGAGTTGTAGAAAAGCATTTTACCCATCTATTTGTTGAAAAAATAAACAGATTATAAATTAGGTTTTTAAAATTTTCTAGAAAATAATTTAAATAAAACATTTGATCCAAATAGATTTGAATGTCATTTTGAAAAGAGTCCTCAATAAAGATCTTATAGATAAATGTAATGAGAATATATTTATAGAAAAATTTGACAAATAAGTAGAATCTCTAACCAGTTAGATGTTTAGTGAAGAATTTTTTTCATAAAATAATAAATATAATATTCATATCGATTAACTATTTTTTAAAGATTGATACATTCTCACTTCATTCATATATGTAGATAACCTACGAACTCAACCAGAAATATATTCATAGAGAGTTATTATTAGTCATTCTTTAAGAAAAAGTTGAGAGATCGATAATCAACTACCTCGAACCTATTTGGTCAAGACAAAATTAATCTCAAACGATCAGATATTTATCTCTTACTGTTTTCGACTCCAACAACAGATGTTTAGAATTCAAAATAAACTTAATGATTTGTTTTCAGAGAAGAATTTCTAGTATTGACAACGATTAAAGTCGAAAACTACATTGAATATCTGTTGAAATGAGCACCTCATATTGCATATTTTAATTTTTCAGATTGTATCACCAATAACGACACACAAAACACATTTTAACAGGTGATACAGAAATCATCGAGTAGTTTTCTAGTTCATTTTTTGCTCTTTTATATAACAGACGAAAATTTGAGAAAAGACTCATTCAATTGAGTATTTTATTTTCTATTTTGAAATTTTGAGAGATGAATTCTTTTGAAAATAGTATTATGCTCTTTTCATCTTGTTCGTAAACGTTCTAGAGTCTCACTTTTAATAAATATAGACAATAGTTGTATATCACTATATAACAAATATTGTGCGTCATTGATTCACCTATTTAATAAGTCAAATAATCTTTCTCAATACTCACACACAATCATCATTCGCAATTTAACCGGTTTTTTTCTTCTTTTGTTTTTTGAAAAAACATCATTCTTTTACTTTTTAGTACCCGTACAAACTTTTTATTTTGAAATGAATACATGCAGAATTTAATTATGAATAGGTTGATAGAACTCTATATCGGAATTCATCGAACTTTTATTGGTCTAGAGTAAAACAATTGAAGAGTGTCAAAGATGGATACATTCAAAATTAGTTTTCAAATCTATTTATTTTGCTAAATTCGAAAATTTTTTCTAAAAAAATCTAAAATAAAACTTGAAAAAAATGTCTCGATAAATCGATAAAATAGTTAGAATATTTAAATTGATAGAATAAGTCAATAATTACTAATTGTTGAGTTTAGTTCGAATAAATAAAATATATTCATAGAGTCAAACACAGGAATATATTTATATCTGATCATTTCAAATCAATTTTATCTTGACTAAAACAAGTTCGAAATTGTTCAATCTCGATCATCGATTCATCGTTCAACTTCTAATCGAATAATGATTAACCGAGAAATAATCGAAATAAAAGAGCAACTAAATATTATTTCTATAAATTGTCTAAGTTAAACAGAGTCAATTAGATCTATGTGTATTATACAAAATGATGAATCAATATATAACAGATTGACTACCACCACATATTATTTATATCTGCATAAATAAATAGTTAACATCTCTTAGAATTTAATAAGATTGGAGATTTTAAAATATTTTATTTCTAACTGAATTATTCTCTGTATAATTAAATATATATTGGTGAAAGATGTCTAGAAAGAAATTTGTTGAAATTATAGAAATCTAACTTGATTTTAGTAGATTAATATGAAAAATAAAGTTGAAAATTGAATTTATTCAAATAATAGATAAGAGAAATGAATTTTATTCAATATATTTATTCGATTAAATTGAATAGAAATTTTAATATTTTTATTTTAAAATATGAAAATAGTTATCAACAGTTTGATTAAGATTTAATAAATTGAAATCATCAAATAAAAGATATGACTAAAAATATCAATCTATTCATTTTTTTATGATTAGTCAATGGATTTTAATCATTTGAATTCATATTAGAAAAAAAACGTTGACTTAGTTTCATTTTAAAAATTTGAAATCATTTTTCAAATAAAATAAATAAAAATAATAAATTCTAAATGTTTTAATAATGATTAACATTATTATAATTAATTATTTATTTAAATTATTTAAAATATGATAAAGATGATGATCACTCTTTACAGATTCGAATGTAAAAACGATTGAAAAACTTTTTTTATTTTATAAACAAAAAAAGCAAAGTTAGTCAATAAATATCTGTTATATCTAATATGAATTTATCTATATAGTTGCTTTTTTTTAATTATTATATTGATATGAATATATTAATAAATAAAGTAAATAAAATCTCGTTAAGAGACCTTTTCATTATAATATTGAAAGAAAATAAATACCAATTAAGTTGAGAATTCTATGATAAAAACATAATCAATAAATCTAATGATTCATTATAGATTTCTCACGTTTTTTTTCTTATTCGTAATAGTAATATAGTATAGATTTATTTCAAACGAATATAGGTGAGAGGATAAGACAAATAAATCATTGATGATGTCATATGTAATATATAAAAGTATTATTCTAACCAAAACAAAATGTCCTCAATGACGTATATCATAGATGAAAGAAAAATACATATAAACAAAAGAAAAATACATATAAACAAAAGAAAAATACATATAAACAAAAGAAAAAAAAAGAACAAACGATAAAATAAAAGTGAATATATTAATAATAAAAGAAAAAAATGTCTATATTAAAGTAAAATTTTAATATAATATGGCTTCGAATGAATTAACAAGAATAGATCTCGATGGAAGAGAAAGATCTACTGAAGTTCGAGTGCATTTTGATGATACTGTTTGTACAGATGGTCACTCTTCATCATCAATATCTCGAAATAATAATAATAATATTGATGATTTATTCAAGGTAAATCGAGAAGTTAAATCTCGTCGTAAATCTGGTATACTTAAACGTCGAGAAAATACAATAACAAGAGCTGATGCCCCACCTATTATATTATCCGATGAAGGACTTAAAGCTGATCGAGTATCACCTTTTATAAATTTTTCATTATTTATCAGTATGACTATTCGTTCAATTGGTGTCATTTTTGGTGATATGTTAAGTTAAAAATAGTAGAAAAACTAAATTTAAAATAAATATATATTTTATTTATTTCAGTGGTACATCTCCTTTATATGTTGTCAAAATAATATTTGATTCTTATCCAGAAGAAAAGGAAGTGATTGGTGCTTTATCATTAATTGTCTGGAGTTTAATTGTTGTTGTCTCATTAAAATATGTTATATTTATATTAATGGCAGATAATCGTGGTGAAGGTGGTTCATTTGCTTTATGTAGTTTATTAATTGGTCCAACAAGTCGTCTTGATTATCGTACGAAACAATTTGTTTGTATTATATCTATTCTTGCTGGTTGTTTATTAATTGGTGATGGTGCTTTAACTCCAGCTCTAACTATTTTATCAGCATTTGAAGGTTTAATTGTTGCTAAACCATCACTTCAACCATGGGCTCTACGAATATCTGTTATTATAATAATATTTTTATTTTTACTTCAACGATGGGGTTCATCTCGTATTGGAATTTTTTTTGGACCAATTATGATTTTATGGTTTATTTTATTAGGAACAATTGGTATATGGCGTATAACATATAAACCTATTATTTTAAAATCATTTAATCCATGGGAAGCACTCAATTATTTAATTCAATCAAAAAATAAAGGTTTTTATCAAATTGGTTCCATTTTTTTATCAGTTACTGGTTTAGAAGCATTCTATGCCGATTTAGGATATTTTGGACGATGGCCTGTTAGATTTTCATGGTTTTTTTTAGTTTTTCCAGCTGTTTTACTTAACTATTTAGGACAAGGTGCACTTATTATTCTTTATCCAACATTTATTGATAATCCGTGAGTTAAATAAACAAAACTATTTGAATTTTTTAATAAAATATATATAATTATTAAAGATATATATTCTCTTTAGATTTTATCATTCGGTACCAATTTGGGCATTATGGCCAGTTCTTGTATTTTCAGTTATATCATCAACAATAGCTTCACAAGCTATTATAACTGGTTCATTTTCTTTAGTTTCTCAAGCTATTGCTATGGGCTTTTGTGTTCCATGTACTGTAATTCATACATCTCGTTCAATAATAAGTCATATTTATGTTCCAGCTGCAAATTATTTTCTTTTAGCACTTACTCTTGCTGTAACAATTGGTTTTGGAACAAGTCATCGTATAACAGATGCATATGGAGTAACAGTATGTAGTGTAATGGTTCTAACAACAATTCTTTATATGATGGTTATACGTTCGACTTGGTTAAAACCAGTTTGGCTTGTTTTTTTCTTTGGAATTTTTTTAATTATTGATTTATATACATTTGCTGCAATTTGTACAACTAAAATAGCTTCGGGTGGTTGGGTTGCTATTATTATTGCATTTACTCTTTTTATATTTTCATTTAGCTGGTTTTATGGAAATTCTCGTCTTAACAATTATTTATTGAAAAATTGTAAAACACATTCACTTGAAAATTTACCAAATAGACTTCGACTTACAGATATTGATCATCCATTAAATAATTATGAACAATCAAATATAACTTCAACTGATGATGATGATGATGATGATGATGATGATGATGATCAAAATGAAAAAGAAGAAAAGAAAAAAAGAATAAAATTAATAAAAAAAGATCGAAAAATAGATTCAATATCAATTATAGAAAATCTTGAAAATTCTATCGCCATGGAAACTATTGAAGAAAATAACATTGGTGAAAATAAATATGTAATAACTCCAGGAGTTGGTTGTTTTTTAACTCGATCAAAAAAATCTAGCCCATATATATTTGAAAATTTTCTTAGTAAAATGCATGCTCATCAACAAATATTAATATTTCTTAAAATCGAATATGCTCGAATGCCAAATATTGATGATGATCAACGTTTAATTATTCGATCTTTTGGAAAATATATTTATCATATAACATCAATATTTGGTTATAAAGAAACAAATATTAATTTATTTAATATTCTTCATTTAGCAGAACAACTTTATGATGTACCTATAACAAAAAATCAATCAGAAATAACTTTTTTTCTTCCCTATGAAATAATAGATATTCATAGAGATGGATGGAGAAGTTGGTTAAGACTATTTCCATTACATATATATTCTATATTAAAACATTTATATCCTGGAATGCCATTAAATTTTAAATCAATACCAAATGACACGATTTATGTTGGAATTATTGCTGATTGTTAAAATTTACTCGAATTATTCGACATTTTTTCAATATCTATAAAATTTCAATTTTATTCTTGCCTTCATTGTTCTTTTTATTTTCAATATAATTAAATAAAAAAAGATTCTTTACTTAAGAGCATTATAGAAATGTACAAACCTATATCAACGAATCATCCTGCTTTTGAAGTGTTAGTCTATAGAAATATTAGTCTAGAAAATTCTCCTTTCATCTTTTTACGCTGTTGACCAAGTAAACTTACGAGGAAACCAGCCAAGGTGTCCAACACCGATTTCCTTCATTCATAGGTCATTTGATGGAAGACGTCGAGATTGTAAAAAGGCTAAAAGGATTTGTAATGATGGCTCTTTATTGAAAATTTAGGGATCATTTTTTCTTGTTCCCAGCTGACATCGACAAATATTAAAAATACTACAACTCAGTCAACAAAGATCGTATGCACATGAAATTTTCAGCATTTATTAACTGAGTTGTAATGTTTTCAATTGTTTGTCGATGTTAGCTGGAAAGAAGAGAAAATTGTTGATAACTTTTAAATAAAGAGCCATCACCACAAATCGTTTTAGACTTTTTTCTATCTCGATATCCTTTATCAAACGATCTATGAATGAAGAGAATTGGTGTTGGACATCTTGGTCAGTTTCCTCGTCAGTAATCTTATATATGATTTAATATAGAATTAAATAAATCTTATTATTATAGTTAAGAGAATATAATAAAAGAAAAACTAAATCTATTTTTAATGATAAGAATAACGAATAATTGTTAATAAGATTGAACAAAAAAAAAAAGCGAGTTAAAATTTTTGAATAATAGTTGATGTTTGAGAATGAATTGAATTTGATGAAATAATTGTTGGTTGATCAATTGAAATAGAAGAATTAATATAATAAGTTGAATTAAAATGAGATTGATTAGATTTTATTTGTAAATATTCTTCTAATATTTTAATAAAATCTCTTAATTGTTGAATACGTTTTTCTTGTTTATTAATTATTGAATTAATTTCTTTTTCTTTTTCTTGAATAAAATCTGAAGTTTGTTCAATTTTAAGTGCATCAATTATATAAATTGATTTTATTTTATTTATATTGATACGAATATTTGATATAATATATAAATCAGATAATATTCGTTCAACTTCAACTACTTTTAAACAATATGATGATATTTCACGCATCATATTTATTTGTTCCTATATAAAAACAAATATTTCTTTGTTCGTTTTTTTTTTATCAAAAATAAAATTGAATATATACTTGAAGACGTCGAATTTCTCGAATATTTTCTCGTTTTATATCAACTGATATTTTTCTTTGTAATCTTTGATTTGTTCGTTCAAAATAGGATCGTTGTCGTTCACAATCAAATAAATTCATTTGACCAAAATTGATTTGTGTCTAAGTTAAATTCATATATATATATTATCTATGAATATATTCTTATAGAATAATCAATTAAGATAGAATAGATTTTATAAATCTAACAGCATCAACATATTCAATGGAGGAAAAAAAAACGCAAGAATATAGATTTGACTTTGATAAAAAATATAATTTAGATCGAGAAGAATTGAAGATATAACATATATATAGAAATATTCTATCGATATATATCTATAATATGTTAATATCTCGATTTAAAACTAAACTAGTTTACTTCTATATCATGTGAGATGAACAACAAGTGAAAATATAATCTTATTTTATTTGATCTATTTAGAAAAATCGAGTTGAAATGAAAACTATTTTTAAAATAGTTCTTATCATAGAAACTGATTTAATTAAAACGATTATTCTCCTAGTTATTGTGAAGATTATTAAAATCTATGTTGATTTAATGATTAAAGTTATAGAAAAAATATATTTAAATTGATATAATAAATCTGAATGAAATCTAATTGATGAGTGTGTTAAATAACTAACATGAAGTTGAAGAATATATTTCGAATAAATATTTCGAATAATTTTAATTAATTCTTTTGGTTTATCAATAAAATGAGAAGATAATTTTAAATCTTCTTTTATATTTGCAACGGTTTCATTTAATTTACGAATCTTAAAATAATCGAAATATTTTTTTGTTAAAATTAAGAAAAAAAATCAAAACCGAACAGAAATTCTTTCATATTGGAGTTCTTTTTCTGTTGCTTTTAATCTTGCTTTATAATCATCTATTTTTATTGAATATTTTTCATTATTTTGACATAATATATCATATTCATTATCCATCTAAATAAAAAAAAAAAAGAAAAATGTTATTTGATAAATAAATAAATAAATCTGTTAACATTATTATATTGTTGAATTAAAGCTTTAAGTTCATGTTGTCGAGGAGCTATATCATTTGTTAATTCTAGAATTTTATAATTAAAAACATATGCAAATTTTTCTAATTCATCTTGTCGATTTTCCATATAATTTGTACGTTTTAACTAAAGAAAAAAATGTTTTCTTTTTTTTTATAAAGTAAAAAGTTGAATAAAACTTTATCTTGAATAATAAAATTTCTCTGTTGAATTGTTTGTTTAGCTCTATTTAAATCATAATCAATTTGTCGAATTTGATCAATAAATTGATTTCGTTTAAATTGAATTTCTTTTATTTTATCTTGAAAAGAAATTGATTCTTGTTCAAGTTGTTCAATCTAAAATAAAATAATTTATTTAATTAAATAAATATATTTATTATTTAACTCTTATATTAAGTAAAACTTGTTCATTTTCTAATTGTTCGATTTTATCTAAAAGAATTTTTAATTTTTTAATATATTCTTTATTTATATAATTTAATTCGAATTGAGAATATTCATCATAGAAATATTTTATATCTTCAATATAATTAATACGTTCATTTAAATATTTATTTTTCTATTAAATAAAAAAAAAAAAAATAATTTTTATTTTTTAATTAGATGAAAAAAAAAGATACTTGAATAAATATAATATTTATATTATTTATTTTATTTCTATATGATAAATCAATTAATTGAATATATCTTCTATATAAATGATTAATAAATTGAATTTTTTCATTTTGACTTATATATATTTGTTCAATATTATATTTAACAATATTTTCACGAATTATTTCTTTTTTATAATTATTTATTTTATCTTGATTATATTTATTAATTAAATATTCATTATTTTCAATAAATTCATTTAATTTTAGTTGATCTTGATTTAAAAAGTATAATTTATGTTGAGTTAATTCTTTTATTTTCATATTAATTCTATTTATATGGAATTGACAATCAAGATCAAGTTGATGAAAATTTTCAATATATTCTTTTTCTTTTATTTCAATTTTATTTTCATATTCATGTCCAATTTCAAATTCACGTTTTATTAAATTATTTAATTCAATACTCTATTGTTAAATATTTCAATTTTTTAAAAGTCCGAACGAAAAAAAAAACGTCAATAGACTATCATCAATTCATATAACTATTCAGATAAAATATTTCTATCGAAATAAGATTCTATTGAAATTGTTTTAGACACGTTAATATTCGAGTCAGTCAACAGTTGAAAACAGAAAGTGAAAATCGAAAATCGAATATCCTAGAATAATTAACGAAGAAAAAGTAAATCAAGTTAAGAATGATTATCAGATATCAACCAAGATGAACTATTCACTCTATTGACTAGACTTTATCATAATCACAAACAAGAAGACACTGGATTATTAGGGAATATCTATTATTCAAACCCATACAAGGTTAACATTTGTTCAATCATTTCACAGATCAAACACTTCATCGCAGCTCATTCTTCGAAGTCCCATTATTTCTTCAGTAATTATTCTATGCTTTTCCATAAGGTGATCAATTTTCGATACTACTGCATTGACAAAATTGATTGAATCTTTTCCTAATTGAATGTCTAGTTGTCCTATTTTTTCTAAATTCGATTTCTATTTATCATTTTCGAATGATCAATTATTCGAATTTGATCATTTCTAAAACAATTGTTAATTGTATTTTATCTCATATATATTGAATAAAGATTAAATAAATATACGATAGAATTGTAAAAAAACCAATGTTGAATAACTATTGACGTTAGTTTTTCGTTGAGACTTTTGGAAGATATTGTAGAAAAAGAAAAATGTTTACTTGTTCTTTAAGAAGATTTTCTTGGGCAAGTATTTCATCATGAAAAGTAATATTTGATATTTTATTTAATTGATAATGATTTAAATTGTATAATATAATATGTCCATCGTCTCCTGTTGAAATAATTAAATCATTACTAAACGATATTAATATCTAAATATATTAAATTTATTCAAATTAAATTCATTTATTTAATTATTAAATAGAATAAATATCATTTCTCAATCTCAACTTTGAATTGTGCAGTTAAAAAGGTAATTTAGAATTTGATAATTTTGATAATCACCTTCTTCAACCTTTTGTTTTTTCGTTGAGAAAAATTGATAGAAACTATATTCTAGAGTATCAACTTTAAATCATATAGAAAAGTCTTGTCTTTTAAGAATTAATTGAAAAAAACTTCATTAGATTTATTTTTCAATATTCGTCTTTGATTCTCTTTTCTAAACCTTTCAAAAAAAAACACACACATCAATTCAGGAAAATTCAATCACAATGAACTTCATTATATGGATTCCCTCGTTACCAATAGATCAGTTAACAACAAATTTAAATTATTTTTCAGTGACGTATTCGAGTCCCATATTGTTTGAAAATGAACGTTTTTTATTTCTTTCCTAACATTTTATAAGAAAAAGATCGTAGATTATCTCAAGTTCTATACTATAAATTGTTTTAAATCTATATAAACTATGTTCAGTTTTTATATGTCTCTTACCAAATCAAGGATCAAAGACTAAAATTTAACGATTAATAACGAAAGATAAAATAACTAAACAATCCTATGGAATATAGATGATAACTTGCTCTTATCACATCCTATGTTTTTCACTTACAATTTTTCGACATGTTTGCTCTATTGAAAATGACAAGACAATGTCTTTTTTAATGTAGTTTATAGAGATGCGTACTACAACTACAAAGTAAAAGGAGAACGTCGCGGAAGACGAAGATGAGATTATAAGATGATCGACGGATAGCCGCACCTAATCGTAACTAGAGAAATTTGTTCGCTTATTTTTTTTCTCATATTTATGATACTATTAAATTTATTAATAAAAAGTTCTTCATTTTTGAAAACTCACTCATGAAGAACAGTATTAACTCATAAATTCAACAGAAGATTATTTAATTCGACAATATATATATAGAAAATCCGACATTCTAACTTAATCTTTTTTCCAAATAAACTTCCACAAATCTAAATATTATCCTAATTCAAATATAAGGATCGTCAGAAAGGTTTTATCAAATTGAATTAATTAAACAATCTGTTCTTTCTCATAGAGAATAAATCTTTCAATGACTAAATAAATCTCTTTTGTAACCAATAGAGTTAAACAGTTTCTATGATAAAGGTACGATCACTCATTAGACATAGTTATCTTCTACTTTCTAAATGATCAATAATTCGAATAATATTATCTTGAATTGTATAGATGAAAGACAATCTATTATAATCATTATTATAATTAACTAAATTATATTGAAATAAGTTTACTCTTACTAACAAATAAGTTAATCTCTTTAGAAATATTGAAATAAATAGATAAATTGTTTTCTTTTTAAATTTCTAGTTATCAATATCAATCTAGATAACTGGTTCGTTTTTATAACTTATTTATAATAATAAGGATATGTTCATCATTATCAATATTTTTCTTCTAATCAAGAAAGAAAAAATGTTTTCTATATGAATTAAAGATGAGAGTTTAGAAAGTTGTTTATAAGTTTATTTAAAGAAAGATGATTTTAAATAAAAATCTATCTATTATTTCAATATTTAAATATAATATAAATCTGATACATTAGTAATTGCTCCTTGATGAAGATTAATATATGATTTATAATCAATAATAGAATTTGTTTCTGTTAATTTAATTGAATAAATTGATCCATTTTGTGATCCAATTAATAAAATTTTTTTTTGATCATTTATTGCTAAACCTGTTGGAAAACAATCATTATATGGAATATTAATATCACGAATTCTCTAGAAATATTTGTATATTTATTCTTAATAAATAAATAAAATAATTATATTTAACTGTCATTAATTGAAATTCTTTTATTTTTTTATCACTAGTTAATATATAAGCTAATTTATTATCTGAAGATATAATCATATCATATATATGAAAATCTAATATTCTATACTAAATATATAATAAAAATAGAAATAAAAAGTATAATATATATTATATTATTAAATAAAACCTGAGATAAAGGTTGACCTGTATATGGATTCCATCGAATAATAACTTCATCAAAATCAACAGTTATTAGAAATGAATCATCACTAGACCAACGAATTAGTCGAAACTATTTATTATTTATTTATAAAAGAATAATTATTTTAAAAAAAAAAACGTTTTACTTTGTCATTAGCACGTATATATGTAGGTTTATTGTAATCATAATGATGATGAAATTGAATAATATAATCATATGATATTGATAATATATGTCCTTGATTACTATATTCAATCTTTATTCAAATAATATTAGTTTGATTTTAAAAAGAAAACAAAATCTTTTCATATATACAGATTGACAATTTGAAATTTGAAATTGTTTAAATAAATTTAATCCATTTATAGTATAACTATATATTCGAATAATTCTCGAAAATGATATACAAACAAATATTCCACTTGGATGAACACTTAATGATAATGGTTCAATATCAAATTCATAATTTAATTCTTGATTACTAAACAATTTATATATCGGACATTTTTTTTTCCTCTTGATTAATCAAACAAACTTTGTTTGTAAATTCCATATTTTAAGATATCGATCAATACCAAGAGTAAATAATATTGGTTTACGAATAGATATACCTACCTTTATTATACGTCCATTATGACCACCATCAAGACCATTTATTAATATATTCGATTCTTTATTTCTATAATCCTATTTTAATATTTAATTCAATTAAATATAGAATATAATAAACAATCTCGATTCTTAATTATCAAAATCTCTCATCCCCAATATCTATTTATAGTTATATGATTATATCTGCTTTTCTTCACTCTACAAAACCCATATAAAGATTTCATTTATTTTTTTTCTTTTTGACAAAATATATCCATAAAAATGAGCTAACATCGACATATAGAGAAATAATTGAAAAAAATTTTTCTCGACTTTTCTCAGAAATAAAACATTATATATTCGTTAGGCTTTATTATATTATTCAACTACCTCTTTCTATACTAACCTTCATTTTCATATTGAAAATTTATTTTGAAAAAATATATTCATCGAAATAGTTGAATTCGTGTCTGATATTAAACTGAAGAGATGATCTTCTATTAGATAATTATGAAAAATTGCCAGTTCGAAAGTTTTGAAAAAAACTCTATCAGACTTTAGGAACTGTCTAGAGATATGTTGGGGTTTGGTGATTCTGACCGATATTTTATTGATAAAAGAAAAAAAATATCGGTCAGAATCTTTATATGGATTTTGTAGATTGAAAAAAGAAACATAATCATAGAATTGAATATGAAATTTGTTTTGAGAGAGAAAGAATATTCTTGATGAAATTCTTCCATACTAATAAATGTATAATAAAATAGTGATAAATGGTATCTAGATGTTAATAGAGTTAATGGGAATGTTAAATTTGTATTGTTATGATAGATAGTTATTTACCATATTTGAAAAATTAATTTTATATAAATTATTATAATTAGTTGCAACTAATAATGTATTTTCATTTGGAGTTAATGCTAATGATAAAATAATATCGTTTGATATTGATTTTTGATTTCTATATGATGAATCTATTGAATAATTCTTTTCAATTGATTCATTTTTAAATCTTTTTAAACTTTTTCTATAACCAATATTATTTTTTGTTCTTTTTATAGAAAAATCATTTATAGAATTAAATGAAGGTAAAATAAATCGACGTAAATAAGTTAAATAAAAACAATTTTCATTTCTTTCATACATAAGAATATGTCCTGTTCTAGAATATTAGTTTTTTTATTTTATTTTATTTTATTTCAATAAATAAAACTTACGCTATTGATACAAAAACTCCACGTGAAAAAGGTAATAAACAAATAACATAATTTGAATAAATAAATTCTTTTTTAGAATAATATTCATCTAAACTTCGATTTGAATATCTAAAAGAAGTTCGTCCTTGTTTTTTATCTTCTCGAATCGAAATAGTTGATGATTCAATTCGATTTAATTTAAATATTGATGATGATAGATTTTTTTTCTTAATTATATTTCTATCTGATTTTGTTTTAATATTAAATTCTTGAATTGAATATCTATTTAAATAATTAAAATAAAACAAACTTCTAGAATATAAAACATACAAATTATATTGTTGAATAATATCTCCATGATTATTAACAGTACAAATATAACCTTTATAAATTCCTAATAAAACATGATTTTGATTAAGCCAACAATGACATGTTATATTCATTGATCGACATCGTTGATATTCTCCATCAGTATATTGATTAAATTTATCATTATTTAAACAATATCGTCTATATATATGATTACCAGTTAATAATATTTCTCTTGAATCCATTGGATTAAATGAAACCTTTTTATCAATAGAATTTATTTACATTTGATTATTTGTTTTTTTTTTTTTTTTTGAAAAGAATTACTTTTAAATAAAGTGGATTATGTGAAAGATGATTATGAAGAAAATGAAGAGGTGTTATACCAAGAGATTTAAATCGATCAATTGACCAACAAGCCAATAAATAATCGGGTGCACCACTTTATTTAAAAAAAAAGAAATTTTTCTTTTTTTCTTAAATATATATATATTCTTACTAAACTACAAGAAGATATTTTGAATTCGATGAAAAAACAATTGATAAAACATTATTTGAACCTATTGGCTCTTTTAAAGAGAGAATTTTTCGTCGTTTAATTGGAGTTTTTATTGTTCCAGTTATATCATATATAATAATACGAGATTTGTTAAATGTATTTAATGCAATAGCTAAATATTGTTTATTTGGAGTAAGAGTTAAACATTCTAATATATCATCTTCATTTCCATAATTAATTAAACGTTGAGATTTATAATCAGTATTATATAAAATAATATGTCGACTTGATGGATATAAATAACAATCTTCATCCAAATAGGCAATACAATCAGATAATGATGTTCGAATACCAAATATATGTTTTATTGACAATTCAGACATTTATTTAACTTATCCTTTTATCTTATTTTATTTACCGCTCGATTTCATTAATTAAGAATAAAATCAAGATCATTATTAAATCAAACTGATACTTTTTACTATTTCATTTTTCTCTGATTAATATCGATCTTTATTATTTATATTCAATTATATTAATAAGCCTTTTTTTTAATAAGTGATCATATTTTATAGAATTTCAATTTAGATTTATATTCAAACACTGAATATATTATTCAATTTTGTTGAACTGAATTTATTCAAACAATCTTTATTCGTTTACAATTAGACACAACGATAAAATTAGTCAAGAAAAATATAATTTATTTTCAATAATGGAAATATTTTTTCATCTTTTTTAGTTATTTATTTTAATTTAAAAGTAAATATTTAATTAAGCATCTTATTAATAAAGATATGAACTATTCTCAATAATAAAGAGTTCATACCTACGGACATTTCGATCTTAATTATATATTAAATAAGAATATTTCATTGATAAACAGATCAAATGACTAATAGAATATCGTCAAAAAATTAAGCTGAAAAAATCTTCCTTTGTCACAAATATCGAGTCTACTTATATATTGAATATCTCGATAGAGGAAGATTTTTTTTGGATGAAAGTTTAATAATATTCGTAGAATTTCCTCGAAAATAACAAAACTATTCTAAGAATAAATAGAAAGAGACCTATATTATTCTTATAATTCTTATAATGTTTAACCAAAGTCTACTAAAGATGGTTTATTGTCGATATTTTTTAATCAATAAACAAAACCGATATTCTTCTATCAGAACAATCAGATTTTCGACAAGACAATTTCACGAGAATAACATTTCTATAATTTCTTCAAGATATTACCATAGGTCTAGTGCAACATAGAGCTACTCTTGTACTCTACGTAGATTTTCCGAAAGTCTTTGATAATATTTAGCATGATGGGTTTATTTATAAATTGTCGGAAATGAATTCTCATCGAGAATTAATCGAATTGATCATAGAATATTTCAACAATCGAAAATGTTATATTCAACTCAATCGTCTTACTTAAAACATGTTTAACATTGAAAAACGAGTTTGTCAAGGTCCTTATCGCGGGCTAATTTTTTTTATTTTATTTCACTTTACACTAGCTCAACAAACTCTATTCCCTACCTATCAATATCTGTATGCTGACGATCTTACTCTTATAATAACAGTCTCTTCATGATGGTCTTGCGATGAGTTTTAGAAAAATATCCAATATTTAGTTCAACGAACTTTGAACGAGCTCGAAATTTCTGTCAATATATGAAAACGACCAATTAACGGTGGAAAAAGCGAGTGACAATGTATTGATAGTATTATCTCTGATTGTTAACATCAATCGACAACTTATCAAAGATCCATCTCTCTTCAAATATTTGGACTTCTCTATCGATGAACACTTATCATTCGATAAACATTACACTAAAATCTTCGAGAAAGTTCAGATTAATTCGACTGTTCTCAAATATCTAACCCGATTCCATCTATCATCATCATTAGAAACACATCAACTAACCTTTTATGGATTTATTTAACCGTATTTTCAACTTCTATATGCGATTTAATCATTATTGTCGGTTAGCATTATTAAAAGAATTGAAAGGAAAAAATCATAAAATATTTCGACTTATAACGAATTGATGGTATGCTTACAACGAACAAGTGCAATGGTTAACTGCTTTTCAAACAGCTCCAACATGTCTACAATATTTTTGACATCGCTTCGTCGATAAAGCACAACCAATAGCAAGTGAACCTTTTGAATAAAATATCCTATAAAAATCAATCTCTATCTATTTGAAAATCCATATCGAACAAACTGATTATATTGATGGGTTGTTCCATGATAGACCGAACAACTATATTCGAAAATGGATTCATTCGGATGATCATCAATGACGATGTAAATGCTGTTTATATTGCCTATCTGATTTTATCTCAAAATCAATTATTCGAGAATATTAACTCTTGTAAACTATATTTGTTGTAATTGATTAGAAATCGAAAGTTAAGATCTAGTTTATTATAATCCTCCAGAGATTTTATTATAAATAAACTAGTAGCATACACACATATATACTCCTATCTTCATTCGACTTGTTTATGGGAGAAATTTCAGAATGAAAATACCTTTATTTTATATATTGGTAAAAACCTAAACGAAGTAAAACGATCATAACTCGACTCGAAGAATTAATGAGGATGAGTTATTTTGAGATTTTTCTAGTTTTATCGATACTTCCTTATGGAGCGAATATCAGTTCAAACAGCGACTATCAGTTTAGCTAATTCCTTCATCAATAAACAAATTAAATAAATTCTTATAAGATTTTTTTTATGAAAATAATGATTTTGTTTTAGAAAAATAAAATATATTTCAATTGAAAATCTTTTTCAATAGATTTCTTTATCCAGTTATTCATATGAAATGGTTAAATATAAGTATTATCGCTAAAAGTTTACTTTATTCTTACTAAAAAAAAAAAAAAGTTAATGTTTAAAGTAAAAAAAAAAATCCGATTTATGTTGATGGTTGTTTTTTGACGATTCCATCAATCCATTTAAGATAATCAGGATTTCCACTATTAATTGTTAATTCGATTAATTCTGGTACATCATATGGATGATTATTTTTAACAAATTCAATTAATTGAGGAACATTTTCTTTTCGTGTTTTAATCATTAAAATGAGTTCATTATCTTCATGAATAGTTGATTCCCATTCATAAATCGATCGAACATTTGGAATTATATTGACACAAGCAGCAAGATGAGATTCAACCAATGAACGAGCCAATTTACGTGCAACTTCTGAAGTTGATACTGTTGTTATACATGCCGAATATTGAGATGAGAGATTTGAAGACATCGAACGTTTTATTAATATCTGAGAGTAAATATAATATGTTAATAATGAAACAAAGAAAAAAATCAATGCAATATAAAGACTAGAAGAGATCATTTTAAATCTAGAATATATTATTTAACTCACCGGATAATATATACGATTACCAAACAATTTAAATAACATACTGAAAACAAATTTATTTATTTTTTCTTATTAGGGATTAGATTTATTAATTATCGACTTTTTTTTTTTTCTTTTCATTTTTCAAGAATCAAAAAATGATCTTATTAAATAAATTTCATTAGATTAATTTTATTCTTTGTTTTTTTAAATAAAACAAAATCTCGTTTAGTTTTATGTTCTATTTTGAAATAAACGAATTTGACTTATTTGTTTGTTAAAATAAGATTAGAAAAAAGAAAATCTTTTCTTTTCTTGATCAATTTGATCAATTTTAATAAAAATAACAACAAAAAGAAAAGAAAAATGGAGAAGATAAAATGAATAAGTTTAAAAAAAAAAAAAAAAAAAAAAAAACGAAAAATGTCAATCTCATTAATTAATTATCATGTAAAGCAACAAATGATTTTGCTCCAAATGGTGATGCATAACGAATTTGTAAATGTTGAAAAACATTTTGTCCAAAACCAAGATCACAAAGATAAAGTCGTCCAACATTTTTCGATGACATTGAAACAAGTGGTAATAAAGGTACTAACGAATATTTACATTCAATAGCTCCACCATCTAATGGTGGATCAAGACCAATAACAGATGCTTGAAGATGAGAACAATATTGAACAATATCACGATACCATGGTTTAGCAAATAATACCGAATCAGAATTATTTCCAGCATCTAAACCATTTAATATTAAATCAACAGGTGATCGAGGAAGATCTTAAATATTTATTTATTTTTATTAAATTGAAAAAAAGAAAAAAAGAAAAAAAAAATCTCTTACCAGATACATTTGTTGTTATTATACCTTGAGTTGTTCGAAATAATTTAAGTTCATTTTCAATAAAATGATGTTGAATAGAATTTGAATTAGGTGGAATATATAAATAAATTCGAATATTTCTTGATGCTAAAATTCTTCCAGCACAAATAGCATAAGCTCCTTGAACTTCAGTTAAACAAGCTAAAACAACAATTGTTGGATGTTGATGACGATTTTTAACTAATAAACGTTGTGTACCACCTAATAAATGCAAACACATATCAGTTGTAGAACGACCCATTGATTCAATACGTCTTTCTAATGAATAACCATAATATTCAGATGATGAATATAATCTATTACGTAATTCAATATTTATTCCTGGAACAACAAGACCTTCATCTAAAAGATATTTTATTATTAATTAAATAAAATTAATTATTAATAAAAACCTGTTAAAAATTTTTTAGTAGTAGGTAGAGGTAATTGAATTTGTTCATAATCAATAGGTCCATTATTATGTTCAAGTATCATTTGATCACACCGGTATTTATCTTGAATTTGTGTATATGACTGTAGAATTGAAGAATTTTTTAATGATGAAAGATTTGATGAATCAAAATTAAAACGATTTGTTGTTTCTTCATTTAAATCATTTTCATTTGTTGCTTCATCTGACCAAGATTTTGATGAACGAGAACGACTTGATAGACTAGGATTAATACCACTAGATATACTTGATTTACTACCTATTTTATTAAAAAATCAATTAGATTTATTATCTTGAAACAATATTTTATATATTTATCTCCACGTTTTTTTCATATCTTATTTCATAATTCATTTTAATTATTTAAATAATTGATTTAACTATCTTTTTAAATTTCAATTCATCAAAAATCTAATTTATTTTTTTATTTTTAGAAGAGAAATATTTTTTCAACATATTCAGTTATATATTAAATTCTAGTTTATTTATCTTATTCAATTTATCGATAATCATATTAATATAAAAGATTTTAAAAATAAATCTTTCAAAATAAAATCAAACTATAAGAATATATTTATTGACAAAATTTATTAAATCTTAATAGAATTTTTTTTATTTTTTCAAACTATGATAAATATGTTTAATAAACTTATTTGACGATTTATATTTCGAAAATAAAAATGATTTAGTGCAAGATTTATTTTATTTATTTTAAAAATAATAATCAGATTATTTTATTGATTCTACTATTCTATAGAGATATATTGACTATTTATCTTATTTAATCATTGACAAATCGAATAACAATATTTATTCAATTTACTTATTTATATATTATTATAGATTCTATATCAATAAATTCTTTTACCAAATAAATAGATTGACAAATTTCTCTCTCAGATTTCTAATAAATCGTTTCTAAACTATCTGTCACGTTTACCGAAATCAACTTTTAATTTCTATTCGTTTAGTTAAAGATTAATTTAAGATAGTATTTGATAAAAAAAAAAGAAAAAAAAAGACAAACCATTATTGGCAATAGGTGCAGCTTTTAATTGTTGTTGTGATTGTTCATGAAATGATTTTTTGTGAATTGTTTTTGGTAATTGAAAAAGTGAACCTGGTTGAGATAAAAGATTTAAATCAATAATATCTTTAGCTTTAATAGTAACAATATTTCCACTATCTTGATCAATTAAAATTCCATTATGAAATGCATTTTTTAATGTTAATGTTTGATTTATTCCATCAATAGATTTTATTTGACCTTGATAATTTCCAATTGTTGATCCACAATCAATTGATACAGTCCAATTAACAAAATTTTCAAAACTCATCACTTTATTTCATTCTAATTTTTATCTAAATCAAACAAATAATTGTTTCCATTTGGGAATAAATCGAACAAAAAAAAAATAAAATAAAATAAAATAAAATAAAATAAAATAAAATAAAATAAATGTGTATATATTCGAATCGTTTGATATTTTTTTATAATCGAACATATAAAAAAAAAAACAGAGGAAAAGAAAAAAAAAGGAAAAGAGCTTGATTAAAGATAAGATAAAAATTGAAATCGATGGAATATGTTCTATTTAATTAACGATTAACAAATAAAGACCTGAGCTCAATCAACAGATAGAATTATACTGTTCCATTGTGCACCTTATTCTTTTGTTTTGTTTTCTTTTTTTATTTCACAACATAACAATAAACAAAGATTTACTTTTATTGAATATTTCTTCTTCTTCTTCTCTCACCTTTCTCAATTAATAGAAAATAATGTACACAATAATATATATCTATTTACATATTTTGAATAGAAAAAAACAAAACAAACAAGAAAATGTTTAACTGATTGAACATGTTTTATTTGTTAAATTTTGGTTTTTTGATAGATTTCGATTAATATCTTGTTTTGAATTTGAATTTGAATTTGAATTATTAATTGAATTTGAATTTGATGAACGACGATAATTAAGTTTATCATTTGATGAATATTGATTTGTTCCATTATCATTTGTATCATTATAATCCATTGCTCTTATACTTTTTTCAAAGATTTCTTGAACAGCCTTTAGTCATTTTTTAAATATTTATTTTTTAAATAAATTTATTCTTACTCGAATATCCATAGCAGATGCTTCAACAAATTGAACTTTCCATAGATTTGCTAAATTTCGTCCTTCTTCATTTGAAACTACTCTAAAACAATTATTTTATTATATAAAACATTTTTCTTTTTTCTTTTACTAAATATATCTTTAGAAGAAAAATCTAATATTATCAATTTTCTTTTATAATAATAGTTATCACTTATATTTTATAGAATAGATATTAATTATCATTATTCATTTTATCAAAGAGAGAACTTTTTTTTTTTATTATAAGATAACAATTTATTTTTGCTTTTATAATTCTAATTCATTTAATAAATAATCATAGAAATAATTATATTTATTATTATTATTAGAAATTAAAACAAATTCTATTAAATAAAAGGTAAAATAACATATCGATTTTCTTTTTAAATATTAATTATTCGAATAAATAAAACATTTATTTACTTTTTTTAATCAGACTTTATTAAGATTCGAAATATATTCATTAGATTTATCTTTTATATCGAACTTATTATAATTTTACTAAAGATTTTTATATATAATAAGTTCGATATGAAATTAATTTGAGATTATTTTTATAAATTGAAAAATTCATATAGATTTATTATCAATTTTAGTTTATAGAAATTGAATTATTTATCAATTGTTTTACTAATATATTAGTTAATATAATAAATATTTAAATAGTATCTTGAATAAATCAATAATTATTATTGATTAATCGATATAATTCGATATAATTCGATATATAAAAAGAAACTAATTTCTTTTTGTTTTTTAAATAAAAATTGTTAAATAAAAGTGTTGTAAACATACCTATCATCGTTTCGATCGATTTTATTTCCAACTAAAACCATTGGAATTCTTAAAAATAAAAATAAATATTATTTATTAAATAGTTAAATAAATCTAACCTTGTAAGAGTACTTGTTGATATTATTTTATCTCGAATTTTTGAAATCATTTTAAAACTAAAAATAAAAAAAATAAAATAAAAAAAAAAAAAAAAGTAAATTATAAAAAAAAAAGAAAACCTTTGTAAATCATCAATAGCATAAACAAGAATATAAGCATCACTATTTTCAAAATCGATATGATTTAATGTATATTGATCGGATCCAGCATTATCAATTATTGTTAATTCATATTCTTGTCCATTAATAACACATTGATGTTGAAGTTCTTTAATTAAAATAAAAGAATATTTTAAATAAAAAAGAAAAAAAAAAGAAAAAAAATTTTTTTTTGTTTTTTTATTAACTTGTTTTTATATTTGGATCATATTCATTATAAAAATGTTTATAAACAAAATGATGAGCAAGAGAAGATTTTCCAACACCTGGAAAACCCAATAATGCTATTTGACGATGTCGACGCATTTTTATTTATTTATCTTAAATAAATATTCTAATCATTCCCAACAATATTGAAATAATTTCTTTTTTTGTTTAATCATTTAAAGAAGAAAAAGAAGAAAATAAATATAAAAAAGATAAAAAAATATAATTCGATTTGTTTTTATTCCTGATTGAATAATAATAAAAATTTATAATTCATCACGAAATGAATAACGTTGTCGACTTGGAGTTAAATGAATAAAAACTGATTCTGGTGGAGATGATCGACTATTCAATTTATTATATTCATATCGAGATCGTTGAGATGAATCATCATTTTCAATTGATGAACTTTTTTCAAAATCCATTTGATCATCTTTACTTTTCGAATAAACATTTTCCTAGAAATAATTAAAAACTTTTTTTTTTTAATTATTATTTCCAGATAATTATCTATCACTTTTGTTTATTTATTAAATATATAATATTATAAATAAAACAACAAATCTCTATATACTAAAATCGAATCATCCATTTATATAAGAGTCAGAGAATAAATCTCTCAATAATCATTAGAAATGATTTTAATCTCGAAAACTAAAGAGTTAAATATTTATATTCTTAGTTGACTCACCCTAACAAAATTCTCTTATGAAATGATATTCTAAGGTGAATATATAATATCCTATATAATATAGTGAGAAGAATGAATATATTTATCGGAGAGGCAATAAAAGAAAATGACCCGTTCATTGTTTGTCAATGAGGATTGAATTTTGTTTTTATAGAATCGGTCGAATATTCTATCTTAACAGTCTATATCGATAAATAACTTAACCAATCAATTATAAACGATTAGAAATTATTAAAAAGAAAAAAAGTTATGAATAATGAAGAAGATTTATTTTATATTTAATGTAGATAAGAAAATTTTCAATAAAATAAATTCTCATCATATAGAATAATTTTAATCTTTGAAATAAATTTTCAAAATCTTTTCTATTTAATAGAATATATTAATCAATTTATTCAAACGATTATCAATATAAATAAGAATATTTTCTAGTTTTTCTTTTAAAGACGATAAATATAACGGATATTTATTTATCGAAAGAAAAAGTTAGAAAATTTTTATTCAATTAATTGAATAGTGACCTTATTTCTAATATATATTAACGAGTATATCTTTTTTTTAAATCAATATTTAATTACTTTATATCTCAATTATCTGAAATAAGTTTTTTATTGTTAGAAAAAAAAACCTCTGTGACATAAATCTGATAATAAAATAACCCTACATAAAACAAAAAAAATTCTGGAAATTTGCCGATTTTTCATTAAAAAATGGTGACCCCAATGAGGGAGATATACCTTTGGAGACTTCTCAGTTCTCATTTTTCATAAAAAACTCCTGACAGAATCCAACGGGGGAGGGGTAGCTTTGCGAAAGTCACCCTACTCCTCTATCATAGATGTTCAAAATTTCGAAAAAAGTTCTATGAAAAAAAAACACGAAAAGATTCATAAAAATTTTTAGGACAGTGATCACCTGATCAATCGATTTGACCTCTGGCACATCCTAGTTTTATAGAAAAGTGAAGAGGATTTTTTTCAAGAAGATTTCTTTCTGTTTTTTTATTTATTTTATATGATATAACATAGAAGGATATTTATCTCTATAATAAATAAAATAAATCTATTAGAAAATCTAACTCGATTTAAATAAAATATTTAAAATTTATTTAAATAAAACAAGTTTAATCAATATATTATTTATGATATAAATAGTCTTTTACTTAATATATCAATTTATATATAAATTGTTATTATATGAAAAAAAAAGGCTATTAAATATAATAATTTGATTTAAATTCTAGATAATCAGTTTTATATTGATATTCATTTTCGAAATAATTTATTATATATTCATTTGATAAAAATATTTATTTATTAACTAAATAAATTCTCATTTAAATTTTCAATAAAATAAATCTCAATCTTTATATATATTGAGTATATCTTAAATATTTACTAAAATATTCAAGATAATAGTTTTTTTCTTCTATGAAAAGATTTTATCCGAGTTTGTTTTTAATAATTATATTTGAAAAGTTACAATGTTATTAAAGATATTGAAATTGATCGGGTTTATAGGATCCTCTCTTCCAAACTTGGACATTTAATAAAAAACGATATTTACTTATTCTTTTGAAAAATGTCACTTTTTTTTTGTTTATCCTCATCATTCCAAACTTAGAAGGAAACGATCGGAAAAAAGAAACGGTTAGATTTTCAATATTGTTGATGAATTCGTCTTACTTTATATGATACTTCTCAAAACAAACTCTGATTGTATCTTTTTTATTTGTTTAATTATCGAAAAAATGTTTATTTCAAATGAAGTTATTAATTGACTATCATAGATTAGAAATCAATATAAACTTCCGCCTTTTTTTTTAAATAATATTGATCATTAATCAACTTTGGAGAATTTCTATCTTTGAAAAAATGAACTTTCTATTATTAGTCAGATCTAAAAAGTAAATATATTCTCTCATGTTTGAGTTATTTGAAAAAGAAAAAAAGAAATTCTCTTAGATTTATGAAAATATCGAAAAATAAATGATTAAAATAATTCTTTGATTCAAAAATCTATTTAAGTTGATTTTAAAATGAAGATTTATGTTAATAAAGATAAATTGATAAAATATTATTTTCTTTTTTCATATATAAAAATAAATCAAAATTACTTGAATTATTGTTTGTTTAGTTGATGATTGTGGATTATGAAAATCTTTATGAACTTTTCCTGAATCAAGATCTTTAACAAATTCTAATAATTTTCCATTTATTCTAAATGAAATAATTTCAAATTTTTTAAAATAAAAACAAAATTCATTACGAGATTTGTTTAAAATCTGGAAAAATAAACATATGTTGAAAAGTATCAATAACTAATAATGGTAAATTATCAATTGTTTTTCCAAGATGTCGTAATGGATGAAGAAATTTCTCACCATCAGCATGTAAACAATTAATACGGGCTAGAAGAAAAAGAAAAAAAAAAGATTTTTTTCAAATATTTAAAAATCTCTAATATATATATATGTAACATGTATAATGCATAAGTTGTTTAGCAATTTGATCTTGAAATAATGAAATTGATTGATGATCATCAATATGATGAAATAAAATAAGTAATGGTAAACCTTGATCTGTTAATTCTTCAGCATTTTCAAATGTTATTTCTCGTACTAAATCAATACATTTATCATTTGTCCATGTATAAAATGATTGACTATTGTTTAATAATCCGTTATAATATTCATCTTTTAGATTTGATGACTAAAATTAAATTTGATTTTTTATTCAAAAATTAATAAATATTTATATTGAAAATTGTTACTTTATATGAACGATAATAAACAATATCATCTCTTTGATTTTCATTTTTAAATTTTTCTCTAAAACAATAAAATTATTTTGTTTTTTTTTTTTTTTTTTTTTTTATTTGAGATAAATTATTTATTAAAATAATTCTTTCTCAATATTAATGTAGCACAGGCTACCAATGCATTATTTGATTATTATTTTTGAATAAAGACCGTTTTCTGTACTCTATCTTATTTCATTTAATCAATTTAAATTATTTTTTATAATTGAAACAACTTAGAAATTCAAACTCGAGATCTTCAATCGAGACATTTTTATTCGATATATATATTAGACATAAATATGAATTAAATTCTAATCTTAAATAAATAAGGTTTACTCACAATAAAAATCAAAAATAAAAAGTAAATTGGTGAAAAAAACAAATTTTTGTTGAATATAATCATATTTAAATAATTAAATATCATTTAATAGAAACAAAAAGTGAAGAGAGAATAAAAAATGTTAATGTTGTTAAATATTGAAATGTGAATATGTCAAATAAGTAGTTCCTTCATTCTATAGATAATTATCTTCGCTTTATACAAGTATTAGAAATCGATGGTCCTTTTATTTTTATTGAATATATTCACTAGAATTTAGTCAGTTGTGTCCTTTTAAAAAGATCGTTCAGTTAACAAATTCTGATAGAGAAATTATTAGTATTAACAGATTCTAGTCGATGTCACCCACTGGTGCCCAACCAGACAAAATATTTCGAGAAACACGTTTAAACACACAATCGGGTACCGCAACTCTGATCCATTCACGCTCATTAAAAAAACGCACCAAACGACGTTTTGTTCTGAAAAATAGTCACTTTTAGAACGTGAAAACTGTGGAAAATTGAAGAACTAAGCGTTTAAACGCGTTATTTAGAAATTCTAGAGAAAAAAAAACGTTTTAATAGAAAAAAGTGAAATTTTCCGCAGTTTTCACGTTCTAAAAGTGACTATTTTGCACAACAAAAAGTCGTTTGGTGCGTTTTTTTAATGAGCGTGAATGGATCACAGTCGCGGTTTCTGATTGTGCGTTTAAAGGGGTTTTTCAAAATATTTGTCTGGTTGAGTGAGTCGCATCGGCTCGAATGTGTTAAATAATCGATCAATAAAAATGAATAAATTTTTATTAATTTGTCTAATTTATATAAATATGAGAAAATAAGACATGTCAGTTATCTTATTCGAGTTAAATAGTTTAAATTAAAATTGTGATTGATAAGAAAATTTGTTTTTGTTTTGATTGTCATTTTTATAATCTACGAAAAAAAGATGAATTATTTTAATGAAAATCTCTAATTGATTCATATAAGAATATATCTTATATAGTTTTATACTATATTTTTTAATTTAACTTAATTATTTGACTAAAATAAAATAAATCTTTAGAGCTTTTTAATAAAATTATTCGACTCTTTAAAAAATAAGTAAAATATTTTGTTAAGAATTTAAATAAAATAAGATAATATCATTGGTTAATATGAATATATTTTTAAAAATAATCTATTTACTTTTTCTTTTATGTTTTGTTTCAATTCTTATCGAATTAAAATAATTATCATATTCAGTTATTTATTTTATTTTTCCTAACTAAACCATTTTCATAGGAAATCATATTTTACAAATTGACACATTTTATTATATTAACTAATTTATTTATTTATATCGAGAGAAAAACAACTTAGAACTCGAAAGATATTTTCAAGACTATGCCGAAAACTTAAACAATTTTATCTTATTTATCAGATAAATGATCGAAGTTGATCAACTTATTTATCGAAATGAACGAATCTTCGATAGTAGGAAATGGGAGTACATCAATTTCTATTCTTCGAATCGATCTCGAATTCTGTTCGAACTGGTCAATATTCTCTTTGGTTAGGAGGATATTATCCTGACACAAACTCCTATTTTAATCAATATTGAGGAAGTTCATAATCAACAATTTATCAATATGAATCTTTCGTCAATAAAAGACTTTTTTCAGGAAAGAAATTTTTTTTTTATAAAATTTAACCGAAGGTTTTCGAGATTGAAGAATATAAATCTGTAATCAATTTCTGAAAATAGTCTAGTCGATTTCTAAATGAAGTAAACTCTATCATAAACAACTAGAATAAAACTGTCAAAAAATCGTTAACTTCATCGAAAAGTGAATCTTTAGTGAAAAAAAGTCAACTAGCCATTTGTTGAGAAACTGATTCAACATTTCAATTCTCCAACCTCGATAAAACTTCACTAAAACTGATCAAGCAGAAGATTATGCAAGAATAATATTATCTCCCTAATCAAAGAAAATTTCGAATAGTTATAAGCCAATTGAAAATTTCGAATTCGAATTCTTAGATCATTAATAGAGAAGTTGTCTAGTTTTAGTAAAAAAATTCAAAAATCTTTATGATTAATTTAGAAAATTTCCGAACTAATAATTAATATATAATATCAATGGTTAATTAACTTTTGAAATAGTCTTATAAAGATTTGAATAAATCTGAATTAAAAAAAATGAAATGATGTGTTTTTCTGTTAACATACATATTAGTTGATGCAGCAAAATAACATTCATCTCTAAGAAGATTTGCTACTTTTGAATAGATTTTATAATTTGAAGAATTTTCATCATTAAAATGTCCAATAATATAAGATTTTTTTCTATCTAATTCTAATAAATCAGTTGGTGTTGATAATTTAATAATTGGTGATTGAATTTGTTTATGAATAAAATCCAATAAACCATCGATTTGTCTAAGAATAAAAATCTTTTTATTTAAATTCTAAAGAAAAAAAAAATGAAAAAAAACAAACCTTGCTCCTCGATATTCTCGTTTAGTCAAAATCGAATGTCGAAATAATTTAAATGTTGGATATTTGTTAACATAATATTTTGTTGAAATTGATGCTAATATATAAATATAAATAAAAAAAAAAGTAAATATAGAATAGATAACTAACATTCAAGATCAGAATCAACTTTTCCAATAGCAATAAGACCTTCTCTCTATAATAATAAAAATCAATAGATTTTCTTATTTAAAACAAATCAATTATAAGTTTTATTAAATAACATACAGAATATTCTTTGGAGACTTTATCAGCTAATTTATCATATATTGGATTAACCATTTTACTAAATTGACACCAATTAGCATAAAAATTAATCAAGACAATTTCATGTGAAGCTTAACAAGTTTTTTTTTCATTTTTAATTTATTTTTAATTTTAAAAAAAACAAACTTACAAAGTATCGAATCGAGATTATCAGTTGTTATTTCTATTGCACCAGTTGATACATAACAAATATAATATAATACCTTAAATATTATTTTCATATTTTATATAAATAGAACAAGATTTTTTTTTAAAATTTTATCTCTTAAATCAAATTTCTTAAGATAAAGCTCGTGTTTTTTTTATCGAATATTCAATCAGTCAAATAATTGATCATCAATTATATTATAAAAAATCTTTTAATACATTTTATAATATATAGATCAAATATGAGACTATTTATTTAACGAAAAATCTTTTTTCATTTAATTACTTTTTAAATATATATTAAACGAACATATATAAAAAGGTTTAGAATTAAAAATTTCTTCTTTATCGATCAATATAAATATATTTTAGTAAAATATAATGATTATCTATTACTATTTATATTTAACAAACAAGGAAAGAAGAAAAAGAAAATTTAACTCGATTTTAGAATTAACTAATAAAATGATTTGTTTTTAAATTTATTCTCTAAATAAATCATATTCTTATTCTTAATTATATTTATATTATATTAAGATAATAAAATAAAAAACGTTTTAATTTAGTTTTAAATAAACAGTTGTTAAACATACAAAAAAACAAATTGATTTGAGATGATATTGATGCATTGTTTACTAAATAAAATATTGGCTTTATTTGAGAGAGATTATATTTGTAAATTATCTAAAAAAACGTAATATATATATATATGTAAATATGTTAAATGGAACCACGTGAGATGATACGATAGTTAATTTAAGAGAAAACAAACAAACAATAATAAGTTGACTTTTATTTGTTATCCAATTAGTTTTTTCAAATAGACATTTTTTATTCATTGATTTTCATTTGAAAATTTTCAATAATTTTCTCTTTCTTTTTTTTAAAACTTATTAAAAAATTTTCTTTAAATGAATATTAGAAAGAAAAAGGTGAAATGCATAAATGTTTTATTTATTTGATTAGAGGATAAAAATATTCGAAGAATGAAAGAAAGATATATTTCGATGTTTAAATCATCATTTATCAATAATGAGTGGCGAAAAGTAAATTTCTTTTTTTTTTTTTTAATTAGTTAAATAAAAAAGGCAAAGACATGAATTATTCTCTTGTTTGTTTATTCTTTTTTTAATAAAACTGTGTAGTATTATTCATTCAATGCAAACAGATAGTGAATGTGAATCTGATGTATCATCAATAGCTGATTCATCAACAACAAATCAAAATCAATTAGTTGTTAATCGAGAACATTTACTTAAACGTATTGATTCATTAACACAAGAAAATCGTGTTCTCAAAGTTGAACTTGAAACATATAAATTACGTTTAAAAGCATCACAACAAGAAATCAAACAATTAAAACAGTAAGACATTTTCTTTTTTTTTTATAAATTATTTAAAAAAAAAAAACGATTTCCGTTTGGTATAAATAAAAGTGCAAGTGTTCATATGCAAGCTAAAGCTGAACAAGAAGAAGAATTTATTTCAAATACACTTTTAAAAAAAATTCAAGAATTAAAAAAAGAAAAAGAAACTTTAGCAAATAATTATGAACGTGAAGAAGAATTTTTAACAAATGATTTATCAAGAAAATTACAACAATTAAGAGAAGAAAAACAATCTTTAGAACAATCATTAGAACAAGAACAAGCTTCACAAATAAATAAATTAATGAAAAGAATTAAACGTTTAGAAGCTGAAACTCTTAATAAACAAAATACTCTTGTAACATTTTTTATTTTTATTTTTATTTTATTTTTATTTTTTTTTATTTTAGGATCAATTAAAAAGAGAAAAAATTGAATTAGAAAATACTCTTGAAAAAGAACAAGAATCTTTAGTTAATCGTTTATGGAAAAGAATGGAAAAATTAGAAACAGATAAAAGATTACTTCAACTTAAACTTGAACAACCTGATCAAACAGTTAATACAACAAATACTGTAAGATTTAAATTATCTTTTTTTTTTTTTTAATCAATTTATTAAAGAATATTATCCGAAATGAATAATTAATATTCAATTTCATATATATAATAACAACAAACAAATTAATATAAGAGTTTATCATCAGTTATTCTATTCGAATAATAAAACAAATTCGAAGTTTATTATTTAAAATCGAATAAAATATTTCTAGTTAAATATTGAAATTTTTTCCAAATTTTATAATATTATTAAGATAAGAAAGAGATATTTATTTTATAAAAAAAAGCAAATTCTAGGTTTGTCAATCATCATCATCATCATCATCGAAAATTGATGAACCAATTGTACATAGAAATCTCTCAGTTGGTGGTTCATCATTAATAGTCTGTGAAGATGATATATCAATTGTTCAAGATAATAATCGTTTAAATTCATTTCTATCATCAAATCCAAATAGTCGTCTTTCATTACCAAATATTGATTATATTCAACAATTAAAACGAGAAGTTGAAAAACTTAAAAGAGAATTAATTCATACACAAGAATCACATAGACAAAAAATGGAACAACTTGTTAAAGAAGAACAAGATATTAGAAATGAAAATTTACGTTTACAAAGAAAATTACAACTTGAAGTTTGTTACTTTTTTTTTTTTTTTTTTTTTTTTTAATACAAATAAAATATTATTATTTAAGGTTGATCGTCGTGAACAACTTTGTCGTCAATTAAGTGAAAGTGAATCATCACTTGAAATGGATGAAGAACGTGCATTAAATGAACGAATAAAAGCATTTCCAAGACAACAAAGAACAAATTCATCTCAACAAAATTTAACACGTTCACGAACTGTTTCAAGTCCATCATCAGGAAATAATAATTTAATTAATGAAAATCCATCATCAACATCAAATGATTTTCAAAGACCACGACCACCATCAACTAGTTTAGATACATCAAACAATATGGAATAAATATTTACATTTTATTACAAATAATAAACAATTACATTTTCTTTTCTATACATTTATTTTACTCATTACGATCATATCAACGATAACAATATAACAGAATATATGAAAAAAAAAACAATCAATTCTTCAATTTTCATTCGATTTATTGTTATTTAAATAAGATATTTATTTATTATTCGAGAGATATTCTATCCTTATTCAAATCATAATCAATTAAAACATAACTCATTTAAATAATCGTTATCTATTAATAAATCTCCTATATTTGCATTTTAAATTTAGTTTTGCTTTGTTTTTTTTTGTTTTTTCTAAAAGATAGATTTGTTTATGATCATTGGATTTTAATCAGAGAATTTCTTATTCAATTACAATATCGTCACAATCAATCAATTTTCATATTTTTTGTTTTATTCTTAAATTAATCTATATTGATTTTATCTAGATAATTAATTTTTTTTCTTTTTTATTGAGATAAATTTAAGTTAGATTTTAAAATTATTTTCTCATCATAATTATTTAACATATTGAAAATAAAATCAATTATTATAATCATTATTTATTTATAATATCTACTTATAATCGATTTATTTTTATCATTATAACAATATTTTATATATAAATTACACTAAAAAAACTCTACTTATACAGTGGTTTTTTTTCATGAATATTTCTATTATTCAAATTAACTTTGATTCAATTCAGACGACTTTAAAATAGATTTAAAATTTTTATCTTCGCAGGATAGACGATGAAATTCATTGAGAAAAATTTACTTTTTTAAATACAGACTCTTCACAAACTCACGAAACAGACGGGAAAAATTGAATATTTCCACCGTGTTCTAACCAAATTATCTGATTTGTTATCTGAAAACAAAGCACAGTTGCAACTTTTTATTCATATATAAACAACTTATTTATTCATATGAAAACAGTACGAGTGAACCCGTGCACTGTATATCAGTAAATAACTGGTATATGTCATATATAAGGCATCAAAGCTAGTTACAAATAAATTCTTCTTCATTGTCTACACAATCACAAAGTCGTTGCTCAACAGAACGGCATGCTTTCCGACATATATCACTAGTCACTTGTTCGATTCTATCCTTAACTTGAAAAATTCTAGCAGATAGTTTCCTGAAGAATGATGTTTTTCTTTTTATTTGTATATTGCTTTCCTCACCGGAATCCTATATTTGTCCAGTAGGCTGTCCTCAAGTTAAGGCAAAAGTGAAAATCGCCCTCTAGGATCCCCTATCTTGACGGTCAACTTTCATTTTAAATCCTCCCAAATTTTATAACTGAATAGTACTTTCAAAGATAATTCTAATGTATATTAAATCGTTAATTAAATCTTGTTTCTTGTCAGAGAAATTTAGCTTCCAAAAACCCGAAAAAGTCGATTTTTGTGACCAGCTTTTCGACCCAAAGAAAGCATCAGACAAAAAAGTTTCCGGTTAATGAAATGATCATCTTATTGAGTAGTATCTACTCTAAAAGTTTCAGCTTTCTATCATTTAAAATGGAGAAATTCCAGAAATCCAATTTTGGCTAAGAGACCCTAAGTTGTATCCCCTATTCGGACCTCTTCGCAAGATTTTAAAAATTTTTTGAATCTCCAGCTATGCTTATATTTACAAGTTCTACTAACTCAGAAAGTTTCATTCGATTTGAAGAAAGTCGATGTAAAGTCTGGTACGTTTTCGAAATAATTCCCCTATATTGATTTTTTCATTGATTATTTTTGAATTTCCATATTCTTTTGTTACGGTGCGAAGCACTGTATAGCGATTGTTCGAGAATTTTTCTAATCCGGTACGAAGCACAGCATTTATATAGTTCGGCGCGAGTTGTTTTTTTCATTTTTTCTTTCTTCACGTACGTGTCAAAACTTGTCAGTTAGTGACTTGATGATCTCGAGAATCGAAACAAGAAAAATAGTCGTTCGAATGCGAAGTCCAAGTGTCGAGATCGAATTGATAAATGTTTTTGAGTACTTCTCCAAAAGACATGTGGTTTTCTTTTGCCTTCTGATTAAAGACGACATCTTTTTTCTATGTATTTCGGGACGTAGTACGAATAAATTCTTTTCTTTCTATATGACAATCTTATTGGTTTGTGGGGAAAAAAAGAAAAGAAACCGCTAAAGTAAAATGTTTTTTTTCTGCTAGTCGTTTATCAGTGCCTGTCGCCGACACCAGCAGTATTGATGGTTGACTGTGTGACTTAAATAGTAGTTTACCATAATCGACACATCCTTTACATTTATTCAATTCATCTGCATATTATCAACAAACTGCATCCTCTTGGTCATCATCATCTACTCAATCGTTTTCTAGCGTTGTTTCAACAGCATTATATAGTTGATCGTTCCTTGATAGTGCAGCATCTGCAAGTTCACATCATAATACGAAAAAATTCTTACCAATGTCAATTGAAAGTGATACAGATCCAGAAAATAGCGGAGTCCATATAAGTGCATCACTACGTGATGTTCTATTTGATCCAGTATTTGCATGTGCTGCAGCAGCTGCTGGTAGTCCAACAGGTGTAACACTTTTCCGTACATTATCAGGACGGGTTCAACATTTAATGAATTGAGTTGGTGGAATCAGTTCAGTTAATACTATTAATGGACGTTTACAACAGTATATACAAGTAAGAATTTATAATAAAATCATAGATATTTCTATTCATTCTTGTTTTTTAGTCACTCGATCCTGACGTTCAATTATCAACACTCAATGAATTATGCTCTGGAAGTTTCAAAAAACAAAACATAAACAATTAAGATCATTTTCTTCTATAACTTATTGTAATGGGTAACAAAGAAACATTATCCGGTTTTCAATTTCGTGTTCTTCACCCACCACTACGCGATTGTTTAGCTGATGAAAATAAAGGAAATACTGAAATAGTTTTAATAACTTGTCGTGCATTGACTTATCTCATGGAATTATTACCATGTTCAGCAGCAGAAGGTGTTGAAATAACACCAATATTTTTAAGGAAAATAATTCCTTCGATTTTTCTTGAAGTCATTTTATTGTTTGTTATTATTCATATAGTTACGAAGTGTTACATCAAGTGATATAGCTGAACAAATTCTAAAAGCATTAGAAATGATTTCGAAACGAAATGGAAAACAAATTCTTATTGCTGTAAAGTTTTTCATCAATATTTATAATTAAATTAGAAAAATAATTTTTCTTTTATTAGGATGATATTGGTGCATCTTTTGAATATATTCAATTTTTATTGCTATAACATCATTAAATAAATCTCTTGTCATTATTATTGCTAATTGTTGTATACATATATTAACACATAATGATTTTAATTATAATCATCGACATTTAGAAAATCTTGTCAATCGTTTACGTTCTGATAATAAAAAAACTGTTGAACATGTTTGTTCAATATTTTCGCGTTTAATTAAAAATTTTCATCGTGATTCATCAATATTCCGTTAGATAGCATCAACACAATTAATTAAACCAATGAAAATAATGCTTGTCGTACAACGATCATTATTAAATAATATAACATTCGTTAGTATAATTCATAGGCTTCATCTTTTTTTTGGTCTATTATTCAATAGTCGCAGTTACGTTACTTAAAATAAATATAGCTGAAACAATTATGTCTTTTAACGAGTTCAACAGAAGAAAAATCAACAACAACAACAACTATTCCAATAATCTATAAATCAGCAGCATTATCAACTAATGAAACCATACCAATGAATATTTGATCAATACAATAAACAAATGGTATTGAACTTATCCTATGTACACCACAAGAATTATATGAAATTGTTTGATTAATCAGGGAAATGATGGCACGTTTACAAACGGCTGAACCACTATTTCAAGTTGACCAATTATTTCGTCGTAGTTTATTATTAGACAGAGCATATGATGCTAGTTAAAATGATTATGTTTTATCATATTAGCAAGATAATTAATTTATTGATCTTTTGTTTTAAAATAATTTATTGCTTTTCTATAAGTTGATTTTTCAATAAAAATCTCATGTTCTCAATAGACGGAAGATATTATTTAGAAATAGAAAAAAATCTCTTGTCAGCTACAAGCACATATAATCAGATGAAATATATAGAAATGTCTAGACTTTTTATTTATTGAAATAATGAGAATTAAAAAGATGTACAAAAGTGAATTTTACTTCAATAATAGATAAGATCGAAATTAAAATATTATGTCTACAAAGTCTTTTAGACATTTTAGAAGATTATTAAAAGTTATATCCAACTAGAGATTCATAGGATATCTAAAACATTACTATTCAATCATCTATATTGATCTAGTGCAGTTGTGAATATTTGTATACTACGATAGGATACGGTCAGAACATTGGACCTACTAAACGTCAATTGGCGGTACTGTCTCAGCAACTGTAACCATTATCCTCAGGATGATATATTAATAAAAAAAACAGCTCGATTACTAATTTTCGTAGACGGAAGTCATCTACAATCATAATACTAAGCTGTGTGAAAGGTCAATGTAAAACTGTATAAAAATTCCATAGGATTGTTTATATGTGTACATAGATACCGTGCAGTTAGTATTCGGCATCTTTAACAATGAATTTTTATTGTTTTTGATTTCTATAACATCAAATAAAGTACATGTAGTTTATTTCAGGATACTAAAAACTAAATAGTCATTACTAATATTGACAGACTTATCTATGTTCTCGGAAAAATTTCTATTAGGTAGAGTGATTTTACGACATAGTTTAGAGATTTCAGCAACCTGTTATTGTAAATTTGTAAATTAGGAGATAAGTGAAACAATTTTCTCTTAAAAGATCAAGAATTTGAAATCACATGGTTTGTATGAAGTGGTAGACAAATATTAACAATTAATGATAATTGTTGCATCTGATGAATTTAAACTGTGTTATACTTTCTGACAATAATTAAATAAATATTTATAGGGGAAATCTATCAGATTGGGGAATAGTTTTTTACGAGACATATTATAGAATATTAAATGTGAAAAAAATTTACACGTGTCTGTAATTATTAGTTTAATATATTCGTTAGAGCAGAGAAGTTACCATTATAATATAATGAAAATCATCGATTTTTCGCAAGCCATAGGAAACACCAAAGAGAAAATCTTTTCATAGAAAAACTAAAGTTTAAGAGAACGAATTCTTTTATTTATTTCGATCCTTTTTTACGAGTTGTTGATAGAATTCGTTAGTTGAAAATCTATTCTTGTACTATTCATATAGTATTACAGCAAGCATTTCTATGCCAACTAATTATTATGAAATCATTTTCATTTCAACCAATTACAATATTTTTAAAAAAATATCAAATAAACGTTTGTAGTAATGATAAATATGAGTGAGACCAGTCTTTTTTTATCACAGTTTCGTCGACGTTGGAACCATTTTGTCTATATTTAAATTGAATCTTTAAAGCCGAATGTCTCTTCGAAAGGGACATTGTGATAATTGATATAAAACATGTAACACAACTCCATATTGAAAAACGAATAACTTTTTATATAAAAGTAGTATAGTAGACTATAGACTGAAAAACAAAGCACTTTTAGTTGGCTTTTCAATAAGATAATTAATTAGTTAAAATGAAGAAATATTTCTAGACATTAATTTTTGTTTTGATAACTTTGCCTGTTCATTCACACAACGTGCAGTTTTTATTTTGTGATTGATATTGATGAGTATAACATGTAACGATGTTATAAAAACAGTCTTGACATTTCGATGTGATTTACTGTCACGATATGACATCTTAAAAAAAAAAGTTCCTTCAATAGGATATAGAAGCATCGAAAGAAAAGAATTTCGAACTGCAATTTAGCCCATAATCGATCTTCATAATCGTTCGAGTGCCATTAAATTTTCAGTCAAAACGGATGCTTTCTTCTCGAGATATGACACGTTGAAAAAAGGCTCATTTTATGAAATGTGCTCGATTTTATTTCTTATTCGATATCTCGGCAAGAAAATATCCGTTGTGACTGAAAATTTCAGGATTTTCTAAGGATCACGAAGCCTACTTATGAGAAAAATTTCCTTTCTTTTGATTTTTCCAGAAGGTCAAATATTCCTCTCAAGGGATATTCAATAACTCTAGAAGAAAAACAAGATTATTCTTTTTAGCGATAATATTAGCATATTGATGGTCTACAATCGCTATTTTTATGATTGGCTTTTTCCTATTGTTAAAAAATACTCCTATCCGCTTTTAACGATTGAGATCGTGTACTTTTATTTCTTAAAATATAAAAATCTATTGAATCTTTTATTTTCCTAGGTAAATTCCAGCCATATTTCTTACAAGATTCACGTACAATTGAACATGTTTGGCAATAACATTAAGAAGAAGTTCAATTAATAATATTCAGTCATCATTATCTGATTAATTTACAACAATTATAACAAATTAATGAAGAAACAAATCAAGCCTGATTTATAAAACATATTGTCACACCTGATACGATTGAATCAACATTCGAGTATGACAAACATATTCTTCAAATTCAAACAGAAGAAACAAAAAAGCATTTTAATATATTTATTTATAATAGTTAAATTGATAAATCAACAAATGCAAATAATCGCCATTTAAGGCCACCCCCCCCCCCCCCCTCAAAAACGTTAGTTTTCGTCAGAATGTCAAGATTGAGATAAATGCATGGGTAGATAGCCTCTCATTTGCTCTTTCATAAACAATAAAAATTTTTCTTCGATACCTCCTTTTTACCGAAAAATGTTCAAGTTTTTGATAACCCTACTCGAAAAACCAGCGGTTTTTCGAAAAATCCAAAAATCTTTTTCGTTTTTTCTCAAAATGGTGGTTGAACGATGAATCTCCGGCGAAAGTCAACTACAATCTAATATAAAGTCAAATATTTTTTTTTGTTTGAAAGCTCGTGTTTAGGGCTAGCCCCTTACGTAGCCCTTTTTTTAAAATAAACCTTTTTATTATTATATAAGAACACACTTCTATAGAAAAAGCACCGTTTTTTTAGGGTTTTTTTGAGTCACTGAACTTGTCATCCATTTTCTTCGCTTAAAAATTATGAATTTAAAAAAAAGAGCCACGAGAGGAGCTAGCCCTAGAGACAAGCTTTCAAACAAAAAAAAATTATATATATATATAATGAGGGTCCACAGAGAATTTTTGGAGATGTGATGAGCTATTTTTTGACCCTTGTTTGGTTCATATCTCTGTCAAACGTCAGAGTATCGAGCTGAAAATTTTACCACAGCCTCTTCACTTCAGCCGCAACATATGCTCCAAATTTCAGCCTATTTGAACGTTCCTGGGCTGAGATCGATTTTTGAGGGGGGGGGGGGGAAGGGCTTAACAACAACAAATAATTCTTCCGATGCTCGAACTGAAATGATAAAAGATAATATTGAATTATATACTTCATTTATTCAATCATTATTTATTGTTCTCTATGAAGTTTATAATTGATCTGCTTGTCCAGCCGTAAAACATCGTTGTTTGCAAGCAGTACTTCGTATGATATATTATTTTAAAAGTCATCTAAGAACCGTCGAGAGAACTGCAGCTAATTTTTTAGAAGTTATCTTTATTTAACTAACAATGGAAGATCGCGTACTATTACCTACGGAGATCGATCATACTTGGATTAGGTGAAAGCTCTCGCCACCAAAATAACACATTTTAAATATAATGTGCCCATAACAAGTCTGGACGGACATATTGAATTTTTCATCGAATTTTCTCTGCGAAAGGCCATTTTTCCAGCTAAATCATATTTTCGAATTTCGACATGAAACTTTGTATACATAAAGCCTTTAATGAGATTAGCTCGCAGAAAAAAACTTCAGCATTTTAAAACAATCTCTCTCCTATATATGAGTTTCGCAAAATATTGCCGCTTTTGAAAAGATGTTGTAGGTTTTGCGAAATTCATATCTCGAAGAGAAATCGTTTTAAAATGCTGAAATTTTTTCTTCAAGCTAATCTCATTGAAGTCTTCATATGTACAAAGTTTCAGGTCAAAATTCGAAAATATAATTTTGCTGAAAAAGCAGCGTTCCACAGAGAAAATTCGATGAAAAATCTAATATGTCGGTCCAGACTTGTTAGGGGCACGTAGTATTTTAAATGTGTTACTTTGTCGGTGACAGGTTTCATATGACCCAAGTATGGTCAATCTCTCTAACTAACAGTACGCAACCTTCCATTGTAAGTATATCTCGAACAACTGATTTTGTAAAAAGTTTTTATATTATTTTATGTTCTCTTGTATGTTTTGAACAAAATGCTTCTTCAATAAACATTATGCATCTTTAATATCAAGAACAAAACAATTTAAATTTCTCAAAAAAATATTTTGTACGTATCAAATGCTTTAACCGTTCTCGTTCCGGGTAAATTTTGGTACGCTTTCAAAGGAATCAAGAATAAACAGCAGCAGACTTCTTTTCTAGAGTTCTTTAGCAACAGAAAAAATGCGCTAAACAGCATAATAAATAATCGAATATACTCAACTGTTAATCATCGATCGGAGTGACATTTTGCCCATAAGTAGAACTTATTGAGACTAGAGAAATCCTAAATGGCTTTGTCTCCATAGGCTTTTCTTATGGAACTATGACCATTTTATCAGATTTTCAGATAATGATAACGCATTGATAGAAAATGAAGAAGAGAGAATTTGCAGTGAAAATGGATAATTGTTTCTCATGATATTGAATATTAAAAAAAAA